TGAAATTCATCATGAAACATAGTTCTTTCATTATTTTGGATGAATGATGAATGGGTGAAACAGCGAATAAAATCCTCTCGTTAATAAGCCAAGCGAGTACTGAGTTGCGACATCCAACACATCTTCACACAAACAGCATGGAGAGTTTTACTGAGTTCGGCATCATTATTTTTCAAGCCTATCATTCCAAGATACGTGTGGCAAGGTCTGAAAATTGTGAAACTTATCAAAAAAACCTGTCACAGAATCAATACTCAACAAGGAACAGAAACGATAAATTTTTTTGACAGATTTTAATCAAAGAGGTGTTAGTCGTCAACCTACAAATTTCATAGAGTTATTAGTGAAAATGAAAATGGTTAAATAAAACTAGTTTGAGTAAAAATGTTGACTTTATTACAACCTGCTGAGATAAATATCAAATAATTTGAATTTTCTGCAGAAAATTACATTAAACACTTTTCACAAAATGTAGGCCCTTACATTTTCAATCCATACATTTTCTGAAAGCTCATAGTGTCGATTATTCTGGTGTGGCCCTATGTACAGGGTGTTCCATTTGAAAAAAACTGAGAAAAAAGTGATCCTGAGTTTTATTTACCCCTGTATAGAAAAAGCGCCGTACGGTAAACTTATGAAGACGAACTGAAAATAAACTATCCTCATGGACATTTGGTGTTGAATAAACCCATTTTTTGACATAAATTTCACTAAAACTTCTGAACCATCAGGTATAAAACCAAAAAACCCTGCATTTTTGAGAAAATCTCTTGCCAAAAAATTGAATCGACTGTAAAGATCTGGAGTATTCTGTTTAAAAAATAAAACATAGGTTTAAAAAATAATATTAAAAATAATTATTGAAACATAGTTTTCATTAATCTCTACAATTTTTTCTCCTAAACATCTTCAAAGCATGTTTATTGAATGAAAAAAAATTCAAACAAAATTATCAGTTAACTGAGTATTAGTGCTAAGTTTTGGCATAAAATAAGGTAAGGTGGGTAATTAATTTTTTTTGGCATTCATGAAAACGTAAAAAAACAATTCAATTTTTCATATTTCAATTGATCATATTGGATGAGAGTTTCGTTTGCAACACATATACTTTTTCTTAATTGTATGTATGTATTTGTCAATAATGTCAGTTGTCATACACAGTTGACGCTTGTATTGTACATTTTTGAGCTTAATTTGCTGTTTGAAAATACTTATCATTGGTTTCATTTTATAATTTAATATTTTTGATATTCAACAAGTGTTTTGATTGGATGAAATCACAATTAGAAAACAATAAAAACTGAAGCTTCCCTAAAGATCTTTTCTGGGGTCTAGCCTATTTTTGATATCTCATATAATTATGTTTGAAGGTCATGTAAAAAATTTGCCAATAAGACAATATTATGATCAAATGAAATAAAAATGATAAAATTTCAGTGAGCACTTACCTCTAAAGTATATTTTCGCACGACATGGCACAATTCGGTATTCTTCCTCAGTACGCAAAACCGTCAAAGCATGAAAGATAGATTCCAAGGCCTTTTCGCCAAAAAATGCCACATCAAACACCTCAGTTACTATGAAGTTGCATTTTTCTTGCGAATCTGAAAAAAATCTTAAAATGAAAACCCATGGTAGTGTAGATTAAGGCAGAGTAGAATAATATATTGACCTTTTAAAATACAATGTAAATTAATGGCAAGTCAAGCACTGTTACATTTAAACATTTGAAAAACTTACTATACCACATATATAACAAAAAAAATTAACCACATTGAAATGAAATCAACAATAGTATATTATATACCTAGGATGAGAAGTGAGCTATTATTTACCGAGCATTTTTATATGCGCGAGGTAAATAATAGCTTACTCAGCCGAGGTATATATAGAATTTTTTTCACTACTAACATTGATGTATTAACAATTTTTATTTTGGCATTAGTAATTTTCTAACAATTTGTTGAATATATCGAAATATCAAGTAGATTGGAGCGTGTTTCTAATCAGACTGGCTTTATTTATGTAAAAATTTGGCATGTGTCAAGTTTTAATATGAATCTAGGAAATATCTCATTGCATTTTTGATATATTTCAATGTTCCACTTCTCTCATCGATTCTGCATGGTCAGAACCAAGAATTTCTTAATTCTGCATTATAGTGAGAAAGAAATTTCCTTGGTTATATGATAACCCAAGGCAGCTATGAATTGTTGCATGTCAAATTGAAACGGTACAGTTTCCATGTTGAATACGCCATGTCGATGATAAGCACGCAACATCTACTTAGGCCATGAAAACGTTTGCCGGCGTTTCTATGACAACCAAACACTGTACAATGATTATTGCTGTCAGTTTGCCAAATGCGGTTTTAATTCAAATTTAGATGTAATTTTGAAGAAGTTAAAAGATCTATACCTATAAGTAAAACGTCAATATAATTAATTGAAAAATGGGTGAAAATTCAAGTGACGATGATTTAAAGATAATGTGTACCCCGCCTGAAGTTAAAATTATAGAATTGTTCTCATTATTTACCTAGGTGTTTTTTTATCATCATTATTTACCAAGGGTGAGAAATATTAATTCTCGTTAGGGGAATGGAGTAAATAATAGCAATTTCCCAGGTTAGTAATGAAAAAAACATATTTTTGCCGAAGTCTATGAACATAAAAAATAATAAAAACAAAATTTTAAACAGCCGAGCTGTGTCAATATATTCTTCAACAGTATAAAAAACGTTTCCTATTAATTTTTTTTTATAGTTGGCTTGAAACTTCTGAAATTCAAAGATTTCAAATATACAATGGAATCATCTCGAGAACGTTGATCAGGAACTTGGAGGGCAACTAAAAATGAAAACAAGGCCGATTTCGGTCGGTAGTCAGGAGGTTCGACGTGGGTGCTTTGTTGACTCAGTCAATCGGCCGATATTTGAGTCGATGGTTCAAGTCCTAGGCAGAACGTTCGATTTTCACTTGCTATCATCCAACCCGTGTTAGGAATCACACGTTAAAAGGTAAGACCTCGTTAGTCCTTAGCTCGCACAAGTTTCTACTTCTGAGGGTTGTAACAGAAAAAACATATTTTAAACATGTTTGACATATTTTAACATATTTTTTTTATAATTTCACAAACTACACCTAAACGAGTTGATCTCCACAAACTTTGTGGAGATCAAATCAATTTTCAATATTGTCACAAGGACTGGAGACGAATGTATGATTCAGAACCTACCCGAAACTACTATAAAAAAGTGGGTTTTCTAGCATTCCATCGCAAGTAATTTTCTCAAGGGTTGAATATATTTATCACAGTTCCAATTCTTTCATATAGAATAAAGAAAATACTTTTATCTAGTTTCTACTGTGTTTATTTATTCGTTACGACCGGTTTCGGCTTATAAGGCCATTTTCAAGTAACTACCACAAATTGTCAAGTTGCGTCTTAAATAGTGTGGACAGGTATCTGCTCTAGGTACCTGACCTAACACGTTACCAATATTACCATGTCACGATTACCAACTATTGGATGAATCCTAAAATTACTAAATTCAAAAGGGGCGAGCTGCATAGATCTAGTTGGTTGAGCGTTATGAACTTGGGGTCCTTGTACAATTTATTTATTTCCAACACTTCCAATAAATTCATCATCCTTCCTTTGTTACATGTATGAAGAATTTTCATGTTTCCTTTATTTATTGTATGGTTTGTTTCTTTCAGATGTCCATATATGGCTGATTTTTTAACTGATAATACATGAATATTACTGGAGTTTTTTTCCCAACACCAAATCGTTATTTTTACACCTTGACACGTGTTTCGATCACCAAGTGATCATCTTCAAGAGGAAGATAAAACTTTTATCTTGATCAGGGCCTTTTGATCAGATAGTTAATGGAAATATTATCCAATAATGAATCAGGTGTTATTGTAGTTGGTTCATTTATCTGTTCGCTTAGCTCATAGGAAAATAGAATAAGAAAAGATTGTGTGCTTCAGCTGCCTGTAATTAATAAATTGATATTGAAATCTCCACAGAGCACAACTCTACATTTTTATACTCGTTTTGTATTTTACCGAGTTTTTGGTAGGTAGTATTGAAAAAATATTGATATCTCCATCACGAGGTCTGTAGACACAGATTACAATTATTCTTAGTGCCCTACAAATTATAGATCATTCAATAAAACGTTCACAGCTTTTTTGTCAAGTTCATTGATTTCATTGAAATCATGAAAAGATACAAGAACCTGTATGTATTTTACTACTTCTTGAAAAAGCAGAAGTTATGTGATAACCATCTAACTGCTTAAGATATTTCTCTGGATCTGTAAACCAAAGTTCAGTTAAACATAGGAATATGAAGAATGGTTCAGTCTCAGGAATTCCCAGAAATATGTCCAGCTCTAAAACCTTATCTTTCAAACACTGCACATTTCCATGTATAATACTGATAGTACTAATTGATGAATCAATAAAAACACTGGTACTAACTGTGATGGAGTGGTTTAATACCAATGTTTATAATAACAATAATAATTATTATTATTATTTTCATTTGACCCATACAAGTTTTGAAGTTGTCAGTTCACCTACACTAGTTTAAAAAATAAAATACAGATACATACATCAAGTTACAAAACACAAAGCAAATTTAGGAGTCCTGTTCAGTTGCCATAAATTCTCCAAGTGAATAAAAAGCATGGCCTCTCAGATAAATTTTCACTGCTTTTTTGAAAGTAATAAATATGTTTTCACTCTTTATATTAACTGGGAGGTTACTACAGATTTTTATTGATGTCATAAAAGGTCCTTTGTGAACTTGTTATAGATGAGCTGTGGGTAAATAAAGTTTGTCCCCATTTCTAGTAATATACTTATTTACATCTTTGAAGGTTGAAAATTCATTCAAATGTTTCTTCACATAACAAGCAGCTTCGAGAAAATATAGACTGATGACAGTTGAAATTTTTTCATTATTAAATACAGAGCGACACAAGACGGTGCGTTTGAGATTCCATCATAACAATCCATATGTCAACTTATTGTGTGGATATTTTGTACAGTTGTGAAATCGCATAGTTGCATACTGAAAGCTGTTTGACCAATTTTCTAACATGAGTCTCCCACGTCAACCTATTATCTAGATGCAAGCCAAGGAATTTCACGATTTCACTGTTTTAAAGATGAATTTAGTATATCTCCTGTTCACACAAGAATACTATGATCTTGTTTGTGGGATATTTTTTTTATTCTAATAGTTTGATCTAGAACTGCACTCCGATCATCTGAGTGCAGTTCTATTTCATTTACCGTTAGTGAAAAAATCTCTTTCATTCTATTTCAAATGAAACACAACTCACCAAATAGTCTCGTAGAATTGCACTGATACCCGTGGATGTTGTGAGCTCCATTTGCCATATATATCTCTTTGGACATGTAAAACAATATCTTGTTCTCTTCAAAAGCAGTCACGTCTGTATCCTCGTGTCTGAAAGCTGCTAGACTGAGAAATCCGCAACCGGATCCTATGTCAAACACATTCTTGAATCCCTGAAAGAAAAATATCATTATGCGGAATTGAGCAAATGCAGAACCAACCTGATTGATGCACTCTGTAATGGCTTGGTTGTAAGCGAGGTTCCTCCTCTTGTCGTTCAGCATCCGGAAGTGCCATCGGGGAATCTGATACCACTTAGCATGCATCAGGTTGACCTCGGCTGGAAGGTAGTCACTCTTGACCTTCACTGCACGCTCAAGGTACCGTCTGGCGATATCTATTTCAGCAACCCTATTGAACATAATAATAGTGAATCTTTTATTGAATCCGATACTGGAATATCACAGTATTTCAGCTATACTATTGACTATGTTTGCGGTAACATCTAACATCATGAGAGCTCAGTTTTGTCTATTCTCTGAGCATGACGCAGTACACTGTATAATCAACAATATAGAAATCATGTTATCCATGACTAAAATTCATGAGTTTGAGCACTTCGATTTAAAATACAGGTACAGAAGTTGAACTTGAAGCATTAGATAATAGATATCACAGACAAAAAAAAAGACATGGCCTAGATACCATTACACCTATATGCCGTATCAACTGACAATCTGAATTTTCTGAAGTCGTAGGTGTATGTGAATAATCCACAAACGCAGCGGTCCTCAAAGCCAGCATAACCCATGCCACAGGTTAAATTCAGCCTGATTTATGCGCCAGAGTCATGGAAAATGGGACGTTTCGGATGCACTCCACCCAAAAAGCTATGGTGGATATTTCACACAAAATGGCATCAATAGGTCTTTCAAATGAATAAAAAATTTCAATATCTCACACGAACTTTCTTTTATTCAAATTTAAAGTTAGGAAGAGCTTAATGAAAGGCTCTATATATATTTTTTTTGTTTTTTTTTGTGGCATCAACTGCTAGGGTTTTTCTTTGGATCAAGTTGTTACAGTTCCAACATGGAAATCTTTACTTACCTGAACATGTAACCACCCAAGTTCGTCAGTATTATATGATTGTCAGGGAAAAAATTCAAAGCTTGAAGATAAACCTTCAACAACTCTTCGAAGTCGCATATTTCCTCCAGTACCATTCCCATTTTGCAAACAAGTGTTGTAAAGACTGTCTGCACCTCCAGGGTGGATTCCCGAGGATCCTCCAGACTTTCAAAATACAGCACAAAATTCTCGTGAGCTATACTGTATTGCTTATTTACACATGACTGTTTTGCTTTCTCCAGGTAGTAAAAACTGTTATCTGTTGTTTTTTTGGGGTTGCAAATTCCTGGTACACGTCCGGCCATTCTGAAAATTGTGAAGGAGGTTGGATGGGATAAAATTAGTTGGTAGCTGATTTTGAACTTGTTTTGTGATAGTAAACGGTCATGATATAATTTTCCAAAAAACGGAGAATTGTCAAATGAAAATGTACACGACCAAAATTATCACTCTCAGCTACTATGCTACTGTCAACCCCAAGATTGTTACCACAAAATAACAAACAATTGATTGCGCCGAGTTCGGGCTGTTCGGAATCACAGCATATTTCTCATATGACCTTGAACATTTTCCAGCAGTGTCTAATCCAAACGAAACGGTATCGTTATTCATATTGTTGTTGCTTTTGATTAATTTGTTCACTTACTATGTTGAAATAATTGATCATGGTTTTTGTTGATGAGACGATTTTGACATTGACAATAATTTGAAAGATGTAAAATGAAGTTATTGACTTGAAACGTTTGATTCCTGGTTTATTTCGACTTTAAATCAGAGGAATTCACGGTAGGACTGACTAGTCCGAACACATTTATACATAATTCTATATAATCAACTGATTAGTGTATCGCAGTCATAAACTAATAGCAACATTTCAACACTGAAGAAAGGCTTAAATTATATTTCACAAACAAAAAAAAACAAAACGAAGTAATACACCTTAAACTGAGAGTGGTATACTTTTTACGAAAGATTATCAGTTTGTTTTGTCATTGGTTTGAATGGGATAATCATCAAGATATTCAAATCTGGAGATGGTTTGCAATTTTAACAATTTGACTTCGAATTCAAATAACTTTGAACAAACCCCAGCTCGACTCACGGTTGTCTTATGATTTACAAAAACCCGTCTATATAGAAGCATAATAGACGTATTCAAAAAACACTTTATTGTAAGATTTTAATCATACAGTTTCACAAAAACGCAACACGTGTTTCGCCATACAATAGCTTCTTCGGGCGTGTCTTTACTAAAGACACGGGAGTGTCTTTAAAAATGCAACACATGTTTCGCCATACAATGGCTTCTTTGGGCGTGTCTTTACTAAAGACACGGATGAAGCCATTGTATGGCAAAACACGTGTTGCGTTTTTGTAAAACTGTCTAGTGAAAATCTCACAATAAAGTGGTTTTTTAATACGTTAGTAATGGATTTTCATCAAGTATCGGGTAATTCTATCATATAAAATCATATACGGCATAAAGTTATAATTAATTATTAATGACATTATAGTCTACTTCAGTTATAATAAATGTTTATACTTTAGAATACTTTAGTTCATTAACAGGCCATCTCTGTGAAAAATTCAAATAGTCCATTTATCCACCAGGGATACGTTTTTTAGCTCAGAGTAAGACAATTTGTCATCCGTTCTAGAAACTTGGTATTTTCTATTTCGAATTGTGAAGGAAAACAAGTTTCATTTGTAACATTGTAACTTCAAGCAATTTTTCCAATTTATACATGTTGAAATCACCGAACTTAGTTTTATAATATGTATGGTTCTATGGTATGACCTTGAAAAATGTAGTTTTGACGTTTTGTGTCGGATTTGAAATTATGAAAGTTGATCGAAGTTAGAATTTGAAGTAGTTTGTTTCCGTTAATTAATAGGAAATGAATACTATTGATAGTGACGATTTTACCGCAGAAGATATAGTAGAATTGATCCCTAGCATGAGTAATGGCTTGATTAAGAACTACAGGGAATTCGAATCTCGCATTGCAAACTCTGAAACCAATTGTCAAAAATACCACAGTATCATTAAAGGTGTATATATATATTCTACTTCAACAAATACAAGACTGAAATCTTTTATTTTCATTATTTTTAATATTTATGGTTAATTGACTATTTCAGGCTACATAAATTTCATTGGCAATTTCCCCAGTGTTTTGAGGAAAAATGTTGACCAACTGGAACTTAACCTCAGCAGGAATAAGGGTATTCTCAAGGAAAAAAAAGCAGAAGTAGTAAGTAGGATTATTGAATTCTGAATGGAAAAAGGCGTTTTAATGTTTGAGTTTTGAATTGGTATAGGAGGATCTGCTAAAAATAGAAAAGGAGTTAGTAGAATCAGAACATCAAAATGAACAGAAGATAGAGTCGCTGAGAGAAAAAATCTCTCATTCACGAGAGAAGATAAAAAATTTAGAGGAAAAAAGGTGTGTATGATTTTAATTTATTTTAATTTTCATTTTGGATATTTGGAGGCCTTACTTACCAAGAGTAGTGGGGAAATTGCTAGGATATAGTCGAATACGAAAAAAAAAAGTTGAAAGGACAATCATGTAATCGATTCTCAAGTTGGCAAAACTACTTTGGTTTTTTTCAACTTGCAATTTCTTATGAAGACTTGCAGTTACTGTTATGTTTTCTAAAGTGAATTTTTTTTTGCCAACTGATGGCTTTATTGGCCATATAGAAAGGCAGATAAGAGAATTGGAAGAAACCTTAGATCCTCAGGAATATTATGAAATATCAAATACGGGATAGTTCTGAGACTTGAAACAGACATTCATTTTTATGACTAGAGTATCTACAGTCAAAAAGGTACTCAAAACACCTGGATCTCAGCACTTCCAATTCAATGCTACCAAGATATTCTAAAAAAGTCAAAACTTTCTGATTAGCAATTGAAGGAAAATCCAATTGCGTAGTGGAAGTAATCAATTACAGCAATATAAGCAAAAGAGGTAATTCTTCTCAAGATCTAGAGCCAACCATCCGGAATATCTAAGTTCATATAAAATATGAAAAGTTGCAGGATCTACTTGAATTGGTCTAACAAAAATGTTATTTTGTAAAAGTTTTTACAAAAATACATGCTCAGAAAAAAATATAATAACGAAGGTAAATTGATGAGTAAAGATGTAGACATAAGTGTCTAGAGAGAGTGTAAAAAACAACAACGTAACATGATTGAGAGTGATTTATAGTTCTAAGTTTGATTTTACTTTAACAAAACTATCCGTGTTAATTTTTTGTAGTTGCCAAACCAGATGTGCTGAAACTATTCTTTCAAAACTATCTGTGTTGAATATAAAAATTCAAAAAACTATTATGTACTGGAAAAGAAGGTTTTGACTTTCTACTTCTCTTTTTCCATACAAACAAACCTTTCTTTCCCAAAAACTAATCTCAGAATATATATACCCCTTTCAATGTAATATGTACTCATTACAGGAAACAACAAAATTGTTTTTTTCTTTCGTTTTATGAGATAATCGAATCTTTCACATTGTGAAAATATCTAATTCAACTGCTAATTAATTTCAAGTCAAAGTATAATTGAAAGAAGCCTGTACAATGATCTGAAGTTCCTTTAGAAAATGAAGAAAATTGTTTTAGAAAAAATGAAAATTCACCTTATTTTTTTAACAGATGTCGTATATACATTTTAAGGTGAAAATAAATATAACATTTTCTATGTTGTGACTGGTTTATATGTATGTTACATGAGTATGATATTTTTAATGATGAACAAATTATATTTTATTACATAAAAGGGATTTGATTTGGACCTGGTGAGTCTATAAATTTGTATTTCCAGTAAAGTTGAATTTCTTGTATTATACTTATTTTCATTCAATGGAGCAAATAATTGTTTGTATGATTTCACAAAGATCGGCAGCTGGTAAATATAAATACAAAGTGGAGATTTTCAAGACTTTAAATAGTTTTTTACAGCTTGTGCATAAACTTTCTGAACATTTCAGGTTTTGTAAGATAAAACTTTATGATTTGCTAGATAAACCACAAGCTGATATGCTATATGAGATTGCAGAGTGAAAATGTGCATGATAATTTCATGAGTACGACAGAATTGTCCAAAATTGTTTTGAGTCGATAGAGGTAATAGCACATTGGAAATATTTATTTGTAAATTTTGTTTAGATGGTGATGATCACACTTATAATCTTCTGTGAGTCCCAATAACTTAGCTGAAGTTACTTGTCTTAAAGAACCTTTTTCTGGTTTTAAAAGTAAGCTATGATCATATTTTTCTGGGGAATAACTAAATCTTACAAAAGATGGAGTTTTATCATGACTGATCAATTTATTATTGGAGAACCAATCCTATACTGTTGAAATTTCGCTGTAAACTGAGTCAACTCTATTCTATTGAGAAGCGAATTTGAATGAGATTCATCACGAAAAAGACAATTTACTTGTGTTTTTAAATTAATTTTTGGTACATAAAAATAAATATGATTTAATAAATTACAGTTCTGTACCTGATCTTGTGTATGATATAATAAATGAATGAAATATCTTGGGACCTTTGTATGTAGAAGAGGCTCATGAAAAATGAGAAATGAAACTTTTATTTGTAATTAACGTCTATATGAAACTAGCATATTCCAGATGTTTCACAAGTGTATTGTATAATGACTATGTATTTGGAAAATTTTCAAATTCTGCATAAATAAAATGAGTATTCTATATCATAGTGATGATTTGTAGGTTTTCATTGAACTTAAAATTTGTTTCAAAGGTAACAACCTAGATCTTTGACTTGCTCTTGATATTCAAACCCCCAATAACATAGTCATTAAGAATAGAATTCTGCCTTGAGGTGTAGGTCATAGTTGAACATTCATCAATATATTTTCATTTTCTCTTTATTGAACTATTCTGTAGCCCTGCTGTCTTTTGCAATACTTTGTTTAGATTCTTTAACTATTATCAGATGTCGCTGACCCAAAGTCAAAAAATATAAAGTGTTTCAATCTGGATCCTGAAAAACTTTCACAGCAAGCAATCACTGAAAGTTTGTATGAGATTATTAAGGAGGTCTCAGTTGAAACTTCAGAGCTAGAAAATATCAAGATGAATCAGAAGGAATGTGAAGAAAACTGTTGAAATATTTTTTAGAATTACTAGATAACCGTTTATTTTTTTAAGAAACATCTTCTAGTATGAAACTTTTTTATTACTATTACAGATATTTATAGGAAATGCATAGCTTTGCCTTTTTGCTTTTGCAAAAAACTACAACAAAACTATTTTCCATCATTTTATCTTGAATTCATGAAAAAAAAATATTGTAAATTGAGTCTTCCTTGAGTATAAATGAAGTACAAAATGCATTCTCAAGCAAGAGAATCTTACTTGAGAATGCCATTGAATAGCAAAATACGTGTCACAGGTTTGTTAACCTTTTATAGTGAAAATCAGAATAAACCTAATTAATAAGTTTTTATATAGATATCCATCAAATATCAATGATAAAAAATCTCAAAAACTCATAGTTGAAAATATTTTAAAAAATTCGAATGTAGTAGAAAGTACACTATCTATAAAGCATATCTTTCAAGTTTGAAGACGCTGCGTTGTTTAGTATTTGTTTGGCAGCCATCAATAGCGAACGGTTTCGGCGAATTTGTGAAAATGGAGAAAATTGGTCATCGTTAATGTGGTACAATACTTTCGTTTGAAAGGCCTCAGCCCAATCAATATAAGAGCTGAATTGGATTCCTCTCCTGACGAGTCTGCTCCTTCGTTTACAACAGTAAAATATTGGGTAGCAGAGTTTGAGTTCTGCCAAGATGAGCATTGCAGTGGTCGACCAAATGAGTTGATGACTCCAGAAGCAGCAAAGAAAATCCACAAAACGGTATTGAGTGATCGTCAACTTAAAATGCGCGAGCTAGCAGAGAAGGCATTTCAAAAAGTGCGGACATCTGAAAATTTGGACACAAGAAAGCTGTACGCAAGATGGGTGCCGCGTTTGCTCACACTCGAACCTCAGCTCGAACAAAAACAGTGTTGTATAGATGTTTCAATTGAGTGTTTAGGGAAGTTTCACAGCAGCAAAGCAAAATTCTTGCGTCGTTTCATAAAGATCCACATGCTTCGCTGTGTAGTTTGAAGGATGTGCATGCGAAATGTGAATTGATCAAATCATTTCTGATGATTGAAGAACACTGACCAAAACTATTAGCAATTATATTTCTATCTCTCACTATTTTGTTATTCAGCAACAATTCATGATTGAATCATAACTTAGTCCTGCCTAGTTTAAAATTTTTTGGTTACCCTTATTTTCGAGTGAAAACTGGAAAACTGAGTATTTTGGTTCTTTTATTTTTTTGCACAAAGTTTTTTTTCGAGTTAATGTATTGTTTAATGAATTCTGGAACATCCACATTATTTGTTCAGCTACCCAGTGCTTTTTGTGTCACTGTGCTTTGATATTATAGTAAGGCATGTCAATCAAATATTTTAAAATGTTCAAGAGAGTTTCTATTGCAGAATTAACTGTGAATATGGTTTCGTCTAGAAAAATGAAAGTTATTTTTCAACCTTCGAAATGAATAGTGTCAATATTGAAGCTATTGCACTAAGTTTCACAAACACATAACAATATCCCCCGGAGCGTATTACGTATTATCATCATTATTATTATTATTATCTTCATTATTTTACTAAGGTTGTGCTGGTCAGGCCCTGTCCTCCGAAGCACCGATACATTCAGGAGGGCGTGCCAGCATTATCACTGCGGAGTAAGTGTTCATTTGGTCCGAGAATCATGTGCAGTGAGCCAAGAATGACAGCCTTCTGCATTTTTCTGGCCAAGATTTTTGCCTTATTAGTGCGGCTAGCCGGCATGCTCTTTATATTTGTGAGTAGAGAGGGCATCGTTCCACCAAGGACTCCAGTGATCAAAACAACCGCCTTGACAGAGTGGTATGGATAAAGTCTGAGTTCAACGAGAAAATCTCATCGATATTTGGCGATATTTGTCTCTCCAGGAGCTGAAAACTCCACGACAAAAATCTTTTTGCTCTGGTGATTGAAAAGTACTACATCAGGCTTTTTAGCTTGAATGAGCCTGAGGGTGGTGAACGTATAGTTCCAATAAATTCGGCACTTCTCGTTCACAACGGATTCACTATCCAACGGAGCGTAGGACAAGAGCGGTGCAAGAGATAAAGTGCGTAGGTAATAATATGAAGCACTGTTAGAGCCGCGTTATGTCGCTGAATATAGGCTGAGACCCCATATGCTGGACATGCACCTTGTGTCAGGAACCTCTATACCCATCAAGCAACTGCGGTAGACTAAGGTGTTAAAGATACCATTCTGGCAGGCCATGATGAACCCCTCAGTTTCCGACTTTAGCCCGTTCGGCCTGAGGAAAGCGAAGGTGAGGTGCTTTGATAAGCCGATGTCTTTGATTTTGTTGAAGAAGACATTTGATGCATTTGCTTATCCTTATGTTGCTGCAGGATTAAAGTGATCTCTGCGGTTTTTATGTGGGCCTTTTGCTGAACGGATTCCAACTCGGCGACAAGAGTTTTGATCACCTCGTTCAGTGTCGAAAAGTATTATTATTATAAATTGATGGATGTAGCCGTTAACTACGTGGTAGGATATCATGAAAAATGAGAAACAAAACTTTCTATGTTTTTACACCACTTGTATTTGTAACTAATGTTACTGCAGTTTCGTCCAACGTTTTTTATTGATATGAACTTGGATTAATATAAAGCAATAGACCCACTGCAGCCTGCAGGGTAGACTTCAAAGAGATCAGTATAGGTAGGTAAATTAATCAACCTATTTTCATGAAACCAACACTAATCCCTAATCTATAGTATGTCTTCGCACAAAAATTTGATTAAAGATATAATTTGCGTGCTTTCTTTAATGTTAAGTCCTTTACACAGCGGTCTATATCAGCGTTTCCCAAACTTTTTTGCCTGGGGACCCACCTTTCATTGTGGATTTTATTTTTTAAATATACCAAAATGGAGAATGCCCCCTCGCACAAATATGTGGTTAAAAACCCCATCAGCTCTTTTAAGGCTATGTTCGGAAGAACTGTATACTCTTCCCTAGTCTTTATTCAAAATGGGAAAAACAATTCAAAAGTATTAAGTCTTTTTAATCTATTTCCGCGATCCATAGTTTGGGAAGCACTGATCTATATTAATATTCATATCGTTTTCTGTGGCAATAACGAATATTGGAGAACTTCATATTTACATTTTCCAAAACAATAAATTGGCGCTTACTACCGCCCCCTTTCTTATGCCGTCTGAGAACGTGACCACCACCGCCCTTCTAAAGCTACGCCACTGTGCATTAGTTACATATACATTTATATATACTAATCCATTTCGAAATGAAATCTCAACGATGTATATTATCGAAATTATCTTTTTAATTTTCAATAAAATTGCTTCCTCTTTGTTTTTTAAAAACTGTGGTTAGATCATAGAAAACAAAACACGTTTTGGTCATGTTAATCATTATCAATTGAGTTCGTTGAAAAACTATATTTTAAAATTTCGAAGTCTGTCCTACATCAAGTTGTAACTCTACCAGAGTTTTTGTTTGGTATGCCTTTCAAAGCTTTGATGATCTTGAATGTTTATTCTCTTGATATATATATTTTTGCAAGTCAAGTGTTTTATGTTTTTATCTGTTGATTTTGTTTTTTTTTAGCAATAAAGACTTCAAATATATTTTATGGTTGACAAAATTGATATTCTCAGTAATAAAAGTTTTTAATTTCCAAATATTTCATAAACGGTAGAATAGCTGTAGGATACACATAAAAATAATAAACATACATTAATAAAAATAAATTAACGAAACTGCCACCATAACACCTAATGAAATAAACCTCCTCGTCTATAAAATAAAAGTAAGTCTTCTGCATCCGCCTCACCTCCAAGGTGCATATGCAAATGAATCAAAACGCCTATAATAAAGGGTATGAGAAATGCAATCATTATAAATAGCAGGCCAGCTATATGCAACCCAGTTTGCGCTATAACGTCCATGTCATAGTTGGAATCTGAAAGAAATAATAAAAGTATATATACAGAAATAACAGATTTATTTTAAAATACCATATGGGACAATTTTTCAAAAAAGTTACTGATCAAAATAGAAAGAAAGCATCTATGGGATGCTTGAAGAAAACCAAAATCACATTCTGTTGACGAAGACTCTTGCGAGGCTAAGCTTCTAAGCACCGCCAAATGAGGAATCGTTTCCGACCTCTCTGCAGCATTCACCACAAATAGGCGGATGCCAATAGAGGACAATACAGAATATCATCCAGATCAATTAGAGCTCAATATACGGCCCAGTGCTGTTTCGTTTTGCCACAAATCAATTATAATAGGCTGGGACAGACTCAAAAATAGACCCATGAAATAATGATTTGACAACAATTTACCAATAGTAGAGGTAAATTAGCAAACATATAAATAAAATATATTTATACACTTACCACTTTTTAGAAAATCTTTAATTTCAATCATTGTAATAAATATCATCTTCAAAAAAAAGAAGGCAACGATTAAAAATATACAGAAAGAAAATAATGCGAGCATCAAAGTAAATCGTGCTCTTTTTGCTAAACCAGTTCTCAACCATCTTGGAAGTTGCTTGAAACATTTGTAACTCAGACCTGCAATAAAAACAATAAACATTATTGTGAAATGGGTAACAGTATTCACATATAGATTTCATCCCACAATCTAATATTGAACAGTCGTAATGAACGTTTTTCATGTGTGAAGGATCTAGTAATTTTTGGGAAATAAAGTTTTTGGCTTTCTACTCCATCTCGATACTTTTATATGAACAGTGAATTATACAAAAAACACTTTTCTCTATTCAATTGTATTCCAAATATGTGTTGATATCACTCACAGGATTGTTACACAATATATCTAGCAAGTGAAAGAGATAAAATTTCATGAAAAATGAGAAATAAAATTTTCTATGTTGTTTTTTTAACAGTTTCATTTGTAACTAACGTTACTGCAGTTTCGTTCTATTTAGGACATTTTCAAACTGATACAATCTACAGTAACGTTAATTACAAATAAAAGTGATAAAAAATAGAAAATTTTATTTCTCATTTTTCATAATGATCTCCTACCACATAACGGCTACATCCATCAATTTATTAGATAAAATTTCACTTATATGGAACAATGTCATCCTCACTGGTGGACATGCGGTGTTTTGGCATAAGACACTTGCGTTATCGCCTCTTCAGCACCAAATCTGAATAACATTATAAGATGAATTACTCAATTCATTCATAAAATTACGACTTCGTGTCACGAATGAGTTTAATCTACTCATGTCATCGTCGAATGAATGTCATAACGTACTGTCATTGAGAACATGAGTATATTAAACTCATTCGTGACATAAGGACGTAATTTTATGAATAAATTAAGTGCTTCATTTTATAATTTTATCCAGATTTGATGCTAAAGAGGCGATAAGGCAAGTGTTTTAAGCTGAAACATCGGATGCTCACCAGTGAGGATGACAGTGTTCCATATAAGTGAAATTTTACATCTTTTTATAGAGTTAATTTTTTTAAATTGGAAAATTCCTATTTTTTTTGTATAAAGACGGAGAAGTGGAAATTTAAAACCTTTCATTCCCAAAACTTAACCTCTCCTGAAAATATACCCCACTCAGTTTGATCTAGTAATATTCTACACTTATTTTTTGTGAGAGACTTGAGAGAATGACTATTAATGGACCCAAATTTCAGTTAACGGCTTAACTAACCGATAAAACAATTGATCAAAAATTTTTTTTCCTAGTCATCGAAGTATAATTAAAAAACGAAATAAATATTAGTGTCTCCATGTAAAAAAATAAATTCAAAACTATTTTCCGCCACTATCGGAAATTATACCCCACTGATTTTGTTTTTCATTTAAAATATATACCCTATCAGTTTTTGAAGTCACTAGTAATTGTATCGATTTTTTCCACGAAGTTTATGAATTATTTTCCAAAGTAAAACACCCTATTGATCTTATACTTCAATTATTTAACTCACCTACTAAAATTTCGAGAACCATCCTTCTGAAATTTATTTTATCGACGAAAGGACAATTATTTGTGAATTAATTTATCGTGAATCAGAGAAGGCCACATACACCATTTGCTCTACCACAGTCTACTTCGAATTGTTCAGGAATTTGATGGGAGTTTTTACGGCTACAGATGTTTTTTTGTGAAAAAAAAAGTTTTTTTGTTTGGGTGTTTCGGGTAAATTCATATTTATACTTGTCAACAGTACCCAGTAAAAAAAGTTGCAACACTGAAAGTTACGAATTTTATCGATAAACTTATTGACATGAATTTGCTCAAATAATTCAAAAATGTATTTGTTTCGAGAAGGAAGAGATTAATTTTTGAAAGATTTATGTGTGTGCAAAAGCAATTTTGTTTCAACATCGTCATTAAAATATAAAAAACCATGCACCGATACTCCTGTAGATTAAAACGACATGTTAAAAAAATTACTGTTTTATGTTTATTCTAAATGTCTCAAATAGCAAAAATTCCATATATTGCATTGTCTTTTCACACAAAATATAAAAAAAACTATTTCAAAATGTGTTCGAAGACATTTCTGTCAACTCTTCCAGATATTTATCAACTCTCTTCATCATATTGTTATTCACATCACGACTGATTTCATCGGCATCTTGGGCGTTGAATGCTTATGAAACTTTCCTAACCATATTATCCTTACTTGTTGTTTTCCCGATCCACATGAGATCGGGGGAACGTGCTGGCTAAAGTACGACCCAGTATTGGCAAATTTTCATCATAGATCTACAAACACAGAATCCTATTGTGCTATATAGCAGAATAAACGCCTGCTGCATTCTTCCCTTCACCGTCATCTTGGTTCAGAAGACGTTATAACAAGTCTAATACAAGGTTCCATAACTGTGGGAATGAATCATAGTATGCAGTTTTCATTTTTCCCGGAATTGTCATTTGTACAAAGTTGTACAGTTGGATTTCTCAGCATTGTAAAATTGCAAAAATATTCTGGCAATACGCATTTTACTAACGCGGAAAAAGGTGAGGAAGTTTTTTCACCAATGTCTAGCAAACATTAGACACCGCATGCAGGTGAACTCTCTCATTGGTCTATTTGAAACACATTTGATTACCATTCATTGACCAAAAATGTACTTAAAACTTAAAATATACACTAACTTGACTAAATTGTGTTGTTTTGGCAACTGGCAACCCTGCTGGAAGGAAATGTATAAGCGTCCGTTAACGGTCACGTAAACAAAATTGGATTTTCTGTTATGATTTTTATAAAAGAATACGGATTCTGCAATTGTTAGAAATGGGAAAAATTTCGAAGGTAGTTGTTTGTGGAATGAAAGGAGTGGGAAAGACCGCAATTTTAGAACAAGTTATTTATGGCAATATAGACGAGAAGTCTGTAAGTATTGAAAATACTATTGCAAATTTCATTATTTCCGGAAAAAATTGGTAGATATCGATGAAAAGTCATTAAGAAAAAGTAAATCTTCCACAGATGTTTCTTACAGAAACTTCAACTTCTAGGAGTATTGGACATATGCAACAAAAGAATCATCCAAAGAGCTTTTTAGATATTTGTTAAAATTATCCAAATAGAAAACTAAACCTAGGTTATTTTACCCCTCCAATCAAATCAAATTATTTATCTTTTACTTTTATAGGAGTTACACCCAACAATTGAAGACATTTATGTAGCAAACATCGAGTCTGACAAAGGTACTAGAGAGAAATTGAGATTCTACGACACTGCAGGGATCGAGCACTCTCAAATCTCGACTGCAAATGGAACGACAAACCAGCAACTGCCCAGGCATTACCTGACCATGGCAGATGGGTACATCTTAGTATATGATATCTCAAAAAGCGGATCTCTGGACGTTCTCGTTTCTATAAAGAAAGACATTGATAAAAATAAAGATAAGAAGGAGGTAAAATTGGTCTTGAAGTCCTCTAAATTTCTCAAATTGAGTGATGAGTCCACCCATTGATTTGATGTATTCATCTATTGATTCATTCAAAATTTCAGCATGTTTCTTGAAGCAATCAATATCCATCAGTTATTTCCTGTTGCATTCAAAAACTCGCCTTTATTTTCAATTTTTTGTAATTTTATAACTCATTTGAATTTTTTCCTTTCTTATATTTTATTAATATATCTTCTCCAACATTCACCAAACCACATTCAAACAAACCCTTCACATACTAGTTTGTATCGAAATGTTGTGCTTTTCTTTCAAATTCAAAACTAGAATCACCCAATTCTATTTTATTTTGTATTTTTTTTTTAAATAACAATCAAAAGCTGTAGTAAGTTTTTATGACTAAGGTATCAGTAGGAGAAACCATTCTCAGTTGGAAATTATATATAGCTAACTGACTTAATGAATATAGATATAACAAGAAAACCAATATATCAAATAAATGTTTCCACTCAATTTTTTTATGATAGGTTTTTCACAAAAAATCAACTACTTCTTCAGTTATATCATAGAGACATACTATGGTGTTTCGGAATTTGAATATGAAACACCATGAAATGTATTTTTTTAGAAGAGATATCTATATGCTCACATGAATATATGTTTTGCATATTTATGGATGTATTGTTCTGTATTATATGTGGACTAATTGTGTAATTACATGATTAATATCACCGTTGTCTTGTCAAAGCACCAATCAAGACCATTCTATTTTCCTAAAAAAACAATGTTTCGAGTTTTCTGACAAACACATGTTTGCCATAAAACAACTACACTCCTAGCTAAAATCACCATATTGAAGTACATCTAACCAAAAAACTATCGGGTGTTATTCAGTATAAAGCATGGAACTAAAATCTACTTTTCCTAATAAACTAACACTCTTTTTTCTAGGTAACCATTATTGTGATCGGCAACACATTCAAAGAAGAAGATAATCCTACAGACATAGATTCCACAATCAGTAAAGCAACTCAGTGGTGTGCCAGAGAAAAATTGAGGCATTTTACTGCTTCAGCTATGAAACGGTCTAGTTTGTACGAACCATTTGTTTTCATTACCAGCAAGCTGACACCACCGCCTAGCAAGAGTAGTTTTACACCTTTGTCCATGGGTAGGAAAGTCGTGAAGGACTGACTGATTTGATTCATTGGACATAATCCACTTATCTGTATTCAGTTCAATTGGGAATCTACGATTGTGTGAAGAGTAAATAATATTTCTTGTAATTGTAAATACATTTTTATACTGTAGTTGTAATCAGTTGGGTTCTTTTTGTTTTGGCCTCTCTCTGTTATGAAATATAATACATTTCAGTTGCTTAATATTGTGTCCGTTTTAATATCATATCTTAATGAATATTTATTCTAGTGACGTGGTGGATACTGATCGATAGAGAAAATTTTGTACCTACTCTATTCATTGATGCTGTTCATTTTTCAAAATTTTAATTTCAAGCCTCTTTTCGGCTTATTACTGATATCGTTGAGTGATTTTCTGACATTTTTTTCCTACGAATTTAAATTTAATTAAAGCGCTGCAAAATCAGCCTGAAAAATTAATCAGACATTTGGCAGTAACGCACTGTTCGAAGTTGGTTTGTGAAATTTTCGTTACAGAGATTGTATCCTCGAAGATGAGCCCCAATGTGGTCGACCTACAGTAATCGAGGACGGAAATTTGAGGACCCTGGTCCTCCTATCACAAACGGTGCGTGAGATGGCGGTAGAACTCCCATGCTGTTTTAAAATGTATTGGACAGGTCAAAAAACTTGAAAAGTAGGTGCCCCACATGTACAGAAATTGTCATTTTTCGATGTCTGTTTTTGGATTTTGGGCAACCACATCGATCCTTTTTTTTAATCGGATGTCACGTGTGATGAAAAGTAGATCCTTTACAATAAAAGGAGACGTTCAGGTTATTGGTTGGACATCGATGAGCTACCCAGGCATATTCAAAATGCAAAACCCACTAAAAAAAGACCATATGGTTGTCAGCGGCTTGTGTAATTGCCTGTAATTTTCTGCAATTGGGCTAAAACATCAAGGCAGAGTCTCATTGTAAGGAAATCGGCAAAATGTACCGAAAATTGTGTCAACAGAACAGGTCCGATCCTATTCCATGACTTCTAACCAATAGAACCTTCGCCAATCAGGGCCCTGCTCAAAAGGCTTTCGTCGACTTCATCGAATCCCGAGTAGACAATGTTCATGCTAATGATGTTGAGGCTTGAGGTGTTTTCTGGCGCCCATGTAATCAAAACGCATTCGTCTGTGATTTAAATACATTAATTTTGGCGTTGAAACGATGACGTTACATAAACTATGATTTGAATCGTATTCATGATTAACGTATTCAAAACACACTTTATTGTGAGATTTTCACTAAACAGTTTTACAAAAACGTTTTTGTAATATTGTTTAGTGAAAATCTCACAATAAAGTGTTTTTTGAACGCGTTATAGTTATGGATTTTCATCAAATATCGGCCAAATCTATCGAGCATCGTTTTCATGATAATTCAAAACTAGCCTGAGGTTGGTTTTGAACAGAATTTGACATTACGTTACGGCAGTTGTTAGTTTCTGCTTTATTTTGATCGTTAAGTGCTGAAAACTTGAAGAAAAATAAGTTGTAAGGATGTACAAAATAAAGCTAGGAAATTACTGAATATTATTGAGTATTATCATTTATTAGATCATATAACACTTTGATAATTTCTTTGGTTTCTTCATATTAAATCATATTGTTGGTTGACTAGATGAAGAAGAATAGCTGCTTTTGTTGGTTCATATTTTGAATATAATAAATTATTCTGGTAGGTACACTGGTTTATAATATGCAGTTACATTTTTAATATTTTTGCAAAAATTGTATTCACAAATCCTATTCTAATTGGTGTTGGAGAAAATTGAAAAGTTTGTTATTAGGTATTACTGAATTTGACATCCGACAAAAATTGAATAATTCCATTCTGGCGAATCTTATTATTAATGAGGTCACTACGAATCGTTTTTGAATTAAACGTCAGAAAACAACTTTGTGTTACGTTGGCATGAGTGCACTGATTCAAATGGCGCTTCGATTGATTTGAATAAGTAATCATTTTCACCATCACTAAGATATTACAGTTTAAAGTAGACTCATAAAACGGCAAAACTATTGAAACCTGGTATTTTATTCACGAAAAAACTATATTCATCAGATACTCTCCTGAAAATATCATCTTCCCAAACTGATTGGAACATTTCAAAAAAAAAATTATTTTTTTTAATGAACTACTTTTAGTGACACCTCGGCATTTTTTCATCAAAAAACCATATTTATTAGATACTCTCCTGAAAATAATCTAGAATTATACCCATCGAAAGGTTCCATTCATTAGATACTCTCCTGGAAATATTGCTCACAAACTAGTGGGAACATAAAAAATTATGTGGACTGTGAAATCATTTTTCAGTAAACTACCTTTTTTGACAACCTGGTATTTGGTTCACCAAAAGATGACATTCTGTAAAAACTTTTCTGTAGATATTTGTCTTCCCAAGCCAAGAAAAATTTCTTGTTGATAATGTAATTCATATTTATAAAACTAGTTTTTCTCACGCCCTAGTACTTTTCCGTCCAAAATACAATACGATGGAGATTCCTGTTTTCTAGAAAAGAGGAAAATTCGTAATCGTTTCATCTTGGCTTTCAGGGAAAGGATTCTAAAATTTTTACATTATCTGATGGCGCTTTGCGATCAGGTTTTGCATAAAAGAACTTTTTGTTTTGGCAACACTGATAATGATACAGAGGAAAATTGAATAAATATGGATTAATATTTTTATGTTATTTGTTGTTTTTGTCTGAGGATCAGTTTTTTTGACAAATCTTGAAAACTTTCTCAAAGAAAACGATAAAAGTAGGAATCAGTCAGACAAGGGTTAGTTTTTAATGTCCACGACATATTTTGTCTTAATTTTGCCATATCCTTTCAGAACAAAATTGTTAAGTTTGTTTTGTAAGTTTTATGAAAATTTGTCAAACTAGGGGAACAGCCTAGTCAATATATCAACACCATTATGAAAATTGAAATGGTGAAAGAAGAATTACCTGAAAGTCTGTTGTTTGGTTATGAATTGTCAAGTGGAAGGGACTGCCTACATCATGGCAATGGTAAGATAAGTTTGAATATAAATGTGAGGAATCAATTGGTTTTTTAATGCCAAACTTGAAGGAGTGATAAGTAGAGGAAGATCTGCTTGGGAATGCGTTCTATATTGGCAACTGTATATCACCAGTTTCAGGTTCTGCCACAGAAAATACAAAAGGCAGTCTCCAGTGTATCCAAACATTCAAACAAGAATCCATTGGAGAGGAAAATATAGCTGCTGTTGAAACAGCTCGAATAAAAACAGAGGATAAGGAATATATTTTATGCGAAACTGTTGGAAGATTTCGAGAAGAGGCAATTGGAAAAGAGGAGGTGGATTCTTTCATAAAAACTGAAATAGGCGAGTTTTATAAGAAGTATATTTTGGGCAGGGTTGAATCTACCACTTGTAAAAGATTGGATTTGTGTTCAAATCACACCAAATTCAATTTTTCAAACTATTTTGATCACTAAATTTGCAAACTATTTGAAACGAAATAACGAAAATAGGAAATATTCTTCAATTACTTGTTCACATTGTTTCTCTTTATGAAATTTAGTATTACCACCTTTCAGGAAATCATTCACTAATTGATTTTATATTTCTTGTAGAAATCATAGAGTATTCTACTCGTGAGAAATAGTTATCATTTGTTTGAGAACATAATTATGTTACTCATTAGACCTATCCTGCTGTTGCATTTTTGTTTTCATTTGTTTCATTTGAAACAAATAATGTGCTTATTGTACAAGCCTTCATTTAATTCACAGTGTCTGTATGTATGTTAGGTTTAAATTTTGTAACTGGATTTTAAAACAGTTATCCTCAACTGAACAAGCTGAAATTTTGCATTCACGTTTTGTTTGGATGACAATTCATCGTTTGGTAAGTGACGGCATCCTACATCCAATATGGCTTACCATCCAAGATGACGTATGAGTTCTTTTCAAGCGTTCCCAGTATTGTCCAGTATTTATAGGTTGGTTTACTAGTTCAAAGCTACAACATTTCCTACTCTTGTTCTGTATTTTAGTCATTTATAGTTGAAGAGAAAGTCTTCACTAGGAATAGTTGATAATCTACTCTTTTTGTAGATCCTGAATCATTGCAGTTTCTTGAACGACAAGATGAAACCGAAGACACTCACACTACAGCATCACCTGTACTTGACCGAGAGAAACTTCTTGTTGAAAAGGACGTGACCCATTTAGCTGAGAACTCTCACGAGCTAACCGATTCGAAATGTTGTCTGGAATTGTTCGATAAGTGCACAACTCCCGGAAACCAAGAACACTTCTCAAAATTATCAACCCAGAATAGCGATTTCATCTCTAATCAAAAGTCACACACTGAAGAAAAGTCATTTCTTTGTAAATTTTGTACAAAATCATTCAGTAAGATTAGTGCTTTGAAAATTCACGAACGAGTTCATACTGGTGAAAAACCATTTCAGTGTGGAACTTGTTCAAAAGCTTTTAGCATAAATGTTAATTTGAAACGTCATGAACGATCTCATACAGGTGAAAAACCATTTCAGTGTACAGTGTGCACAAGGTCATTCAGTACACAGGGTAACCTAAAAGTTCATGGAAGAATTCATACGGGTGAAAAACCATTTCAGTGTAAAATTTGTTCGAAATCATTTATTGAAAACAGAAATTTGAAAATTCATGAAAAGATTCATTCTGGAGGTGGCCCTTTCCATTGTAACTTTTGTGAAAAATCTTTCAGTCAAAAAGAAAATTTGAAAATTCATGAGAGCACTCATACTGGAGAAAGTCCTTTTCTTTGTATGTTTTGTAAAAAATCATTCACTCAAAAGGGGCATTTGAAAGTTCATGAAAGGATACATACTGGGGACAAACACTTCTATTGTAAAGTTTGCTCAAAATCATTTATTCAGAGTGGTACATTGAAACGTCATGAAAAAATCCATACTGAGGAAAACCTGTTTCAATGTAAAATCTGCACGAAAACTTTCACTTTCGAAAGATATCTGAAAACTCATTTGATAACTCATACCAATGAAAAACGATACAATTGTAAATTTTGCACAAAATCTTTCGCTTCCAGTAGTTCATTGAAAAGCCATGAAAGAAGTCATACTGGAGAAAGGCCATTCAGTTGTAAATTCTGTGCAAAGTCTTTCGTTCGCAATGAAGACATGAAAATTCATGAAAAACTTCATACTGGGCAAAACCTATTTCAGTGTGAAATCTGCTCAAAGTCTTTCACTAAAAAATGCTATCTAAAAACGCATATAATATCCCATACCAATGAAAACCCCTTTTGTTGTGACCTTTGCAAAAAATCTTTTTCTCGTAGTAGTTCTTTGAAACTTCACGAAAAAGTTCATATTGGGGACAAATCTGACAGTAAAATTTGAGTAGTGAAGGCGATGACACCTCCTCTTAAGAAGACGCCATCTATAGGATCGACAGAGAACTCAATCCTGGAATATCAAAGATACCCAAGGCAGTCAGTTGCAAAGTCAAATTTCAAGACATTGACCACCCAATGTGATTCATCTTCTGTTTTCGACTGTAAAATTTGACTTTTGCTAGTGTATTATTGAAATTGGTAGAAATCTGAAATTATGACAGTTACTGAAAAAACAGTTATTTGTAAGGAAAATTTCCTCCAAGCAAGAATGTTTGAATATAAAGCACTGGAAATTGAATACAACATTATGGATTACAATAATGATATCCTTTGCAAAGTACCAAACATTATAAAAAATAAAAATCTGACAGAATAAATCAAAAGAGAGAATGAGGTCGATGTTTGATGTTTTTTATGAAAATATCAAAACTGAAAAAGTAAATGAACTCAACTTGTCAAGTGCGTGGAAAAAATGTCTGGATTTTTTAAAACCGACTACTATCCTTCCTCAGTTCAAATAATTTCAAACCTAATTGCAACTTTAAATAAAATGAATTCCATTATATATGGTGTGACAGTGTGAGGACATGGCAAGAATTTAAACCTTTTCCTTGGTCCTATTATTAAATATTTCGGTAAGGGTTATCGAGATGATTATTGGAAATTTAGTCCACCTACTTCAAGAATTTTGTCTTTGTCTTCACCTCAGAGTAATGATTTTAAATAATATGACAAAACCCAAATTAAAAATAAGTTTGCTGTCAATTATGTCAAAAATACTTTGTTAAAAAAAGATATTCAAAAGTATATTAAAGAATGCATACAAAAGGAAAACTACTCAACTGCAAAATCTGTTCAAAATCTAATTATCATACCTTGAGAGATCCTAAAAGAACTCATCCTGGTGGAGAATTATTTCATCTGCATTGAAAAGACATCTACTCAAAGTGGACAATCTTTGATCCTTTTCACCACTTTGAATAATCATAAAAGAGCCTTTATAGGTGGAAGATCTTTTCATACAATCAAAAACTATTCTGTTGCAAAATCTTTCACTATCAATTGTACTTTGAAGGTCCATAAAATAGTTCAAACTGGCAAAGATATTTCTCCCATACAAACATTTGAAAGATCGTGAAAGAAATCCTGATGTTAAATAATTTCAGGTCCAATACACTTTCAGAAAATTGTTGTATGGGGTGGAATTCATCACATTCTCGACAAAAAACTATTCAAACAAAGTGTTGAACAAATATTCCCTCACTTCAAAAATAATACTAACACTTTCAAAATACTGAGACACACAGGAAAGGCATTAGATGTGTTTCCAAACCAAAATGTGGCTTGTGTCTATATTGGAAGAACATCTAGAAATTTCAAAACCAGAATTTGATAACACAAAAATGTTCATATGAAGGAAACCAACCTATGTATGCCATTTGTTAGAAAACAACTACGACTTCGACATAAACTATAAAATTAAACTTGCTAGAATCCTTGGAAATTAATAAACAAACAATAAAATTTCCTATTGGACGCCTAAAAAGTAGTTAACCTCTTCCCACTATTGAATTGATTTTCATGGAAAATTTATAAGAATTAGTCAAATGAATAGTAATAATAATTTTTACCTGCTGGCTACTGGTTCTTATAACCACTTGATTACCAGTTACTAACTTAGTGTAAGGCATATTGGAAATGAAGTTACTTATTGAGTTTTTGTAAAACTGTTTAGTGAAAATCCCACAATAACGTATTTTTGAATACGTTGAACTTGAATATTACTAGAGTTTTTTCCCAACACCAAATTTTCAACACCTCGACACGTGTTTCGATCACCAAGTGGTCATCTTCAAAGAGGAAGATTAATCTTCAGTTTTAATCTTCCTCTTTGAAGATGATCACTTGGTGATCGAAACACGTGTCGAGATGTTAAAAATAACGATTTGGTGTTGGGAAAAAACTCCAGTAATATTCATTACCACACCAAAGGTTCCAAACAGTGCATCATAAGTACGTTGAACTTGTTAATTAATCTAATTAAATAAACTACTCCACTCATCGGTTACAGAACTATTTCGTCAGAGCACATTTTTTTTATTTTTGAATTCTTTAAAGAACCCAAGAAATGGAGACTAGGGTTTTATCAAAACTAGGTCTTGTGACAGATGTTGACTGGTTAGTGACTGCTTTTTGTGTATTACTCTTGGACGATTAGGTTTCATTGCTTATTATCTGACTCGTGCTACGAATTACATGTTTACTTCCTTTATTTTTAATTTTCACAAGTTAACTTCAGAGGTTTGTTGTTCATAGGCAGGTAGTTGATAAATTGCAGAACCAATTTTATTCCAGTAACACCTTATTGTGAGCTTTTCAATCAACTATTCACAAGTCCGCAACGTGTTTCACTATACAATAGTTATTGTATAGCGAAACACATGTTGCTGTTTCTTAAAGTGTTCTGTGAAAATCCCACAATAAATTGTTATTTGAATGAGTACGTCATGTATTCTCATGAAGTACCAGCCAATTCCGTCACATATTTTGACCAATTTTTTAACTCTGAACCTGTCTGAACAATTCGTCACTTACTGGGTTGGAAATAACAATTCTTTTGAAAAAGAAAATATATATTACATAAAAACTTATATTCAATCAGATAAAGTAATGTCATGGCATGTTATCAATAACACTGCACATGATCCTGTCCAAGATATAGCACGGATCTGCTTTACCATCACCATTATCATTTTTTTCATTGCCTATCAGCAAATCGGTTTCTATCATGATTTTGGAATCCACCTCCATCGGTTCTGGGATGTTTTGTATTGCTTGCTGAAGAATATCCAGGGCTTTGTCTAGATGTTTCTGGAATCTGAAACAAGTTAATGAAAAGAATCAGTTAATGTGAGACGTAAACAGAAATACAGATTTTGATAAGTATCAGGAGAGGTAGTTTTTCGATGAGAGGTACAAAACTTAGAAGTGTTTTATGTGTTCAGCGATTTTCTCCTATCAAATAAAATGGATCAGGGAATTTAAAAAAAAATTGTGTAAAAAATGGGATTAGAAGCTCAAAAACACTTGAAATGTTGGCAGTGACATACGATGATTGTACTATGAGTCGAAAGATGTTTACAAGTGGTACAAGTACAAAATTGAATAAAATACATTGTGTTTTTATATATTTTTTGTTGAAGTACATTATTTTCAGACCATATGATTTTGTATAAACCTCAAAAAAGAATATTTGGAAAAATTGAATCCTGATATTTTTTGTTGGATAACTGTATCTCTAAATGTTTATGCTTCTCCCAAAATTCCTAATCAACATATAAGAATTCGTAAGTAACAATGAGCCTGCCTGAAAATTATCGGATCTATTAGAGATCTAAAAAATGCGCATAGCCTAACCGTAAGACAATACATACCTATTAGCTGTTTCAATCCTTTGCCTCTTCTGTAGCTCCATCATAACCCTTAGTGTCTCTCTGGCTTGATGTGGCCTGAATTCATTCAACAAGTGATGGATATGAATGAACAGCAGGCTGAGATCTTCCACCTTTTCTGCTCTACGTGGGGAATCAGGGCAGTTAACGAGTAGATCCAGCAAGTCAAGAAAGTTGGCTAAAAGGGACTGGTTTAATTTTTTCAACTCTCTTCGCCTATCGAAATGTAATGGGTAGAGTCTCTTGATACCCTGAAAAGAGATTAATAATTGATGATGAAAACATTTATTGCCCAACAGAATAAATAAAAATAATCCTACTACAAAACAAACAACTTCAAGTACAGTGAAATGCAAAGAAGTGAATTATCACACATTTGGCATCATATGCTTTCATTATACATCCTATTTGAATTATTACTGTTTGTGCTAATCAGTGATTTTGTGAGAACATTTTTTGGTTGGGAACTTTAGAACTTTGGATTTTTTCTTCTATCAAATAGAACCAGTTAACGGAGGCATGAAATTAGTGCTAAGTATCTTTAAAATTCCAAACTTTTGAAGTTATAACTGACTACCGTCAACTAGTAATCGGTCCACAGCCTGGGACCATAAGTTGTGTCATGTGAATTGGAAAAGACGAATTGTTGTCGACCTTCAACCTATTACTTAAAAAATAGGATTATATTACTGGATAATCCAGATCGGCAAAGCTTTTCCAATATAATGCCATGATCCATCTCATCAACAGCCTTTAAGAGATAACATCCATCTGACCACCAGAATCAGGAGTATTTGATATATGTTAGGTGGTTACAAGATTGGAAATAGGCACATAAGGTCAGACAAAGAATAATAGTACTCTTATGAGTACCTGTGATTTATTTTACTAACCTGACTTTCCAGGGGCCTTATAATACTTTCTTCGGTGTTGAAAGCGTTGCCAAACATATGATAAGTGTCTTGGATTGGAGGAGGGGGTTTGGGGGCCCTACCCCGCCGGATTAGTTCGTCTGTGTATTGGTTCACATACTGCATAGGGGGCAGAGGTAAAGAGCTGACTTGGACAGCATCTGAATTAGCCATTTTAGGTTATTTGCAGTTAGGCGACGTTTATAAAATAATTGTATTGTATTCAATGTACAAGTCACGGTAATGATATTTTACTTATGTTAAAACCTGGGAACTATCCAAAAACTAAATTAATAACAATAAACATCACTTCTACTGTGACTTCTACTTCTTTTTTCTTAAATTAGTCAACTGTAGAGATGGGTCGTTCCTTCTCGTGCAGTTTTGCCACAGAATAGATTGTTTAATATTCTGTGGTTTCGCTGTAGCTGTAGAGTATTATTTATCTCGGTCTTTTGTCGCGTTATTCTTCCTTCAGTAGCTTTCACGACTGGAATTATGTTTCCAATAGAGAAACGGTATTTCCCATCTCTAGTAAACTGTCAAAAGTCTTTATCTTCTTATTTCATTAACATTTATAGCGGGTTTGCCAATGCTGTTTTTAAAGGAGACGGACTCATGAACCAAAAATTGGTGACATAGGTATACGATTTGGAATCAGTTCTGATAGTGAACCTACGGGATACCAGTAATTAAATAACCAGGTATAAGACTCGAAAATTTATGTAGTTATATAGTATCAATTAATTATTAATTATTGAAATAAAGAATATTCACTTACCATATTCACAATATTTTTTTGCTCTATTAAAAGTTGTGATGAATTTATCCATTTGTTCAATATAAATATTTTCAACTAGAAATCGTGGAAAAAGTATAGTGTGCAATACATGTGCGAAGCCTTTTATCCATTTCGTCCTCGTGTATAAAGTGAAACTTCAACGAAATTGTTGAACAATATACCTATAGTGTTTCCTCACACAATTACTTAGTGAATAATTAGAGTAAACTAATTTGGTCAAGTCACTATGTTTTATTCAAAATAATATATTTTTCTTCGCAACTAATTGGCGAACAATTAGAGCAAACTAATTGTCTAGTCAAACTTATAGAAAAGTCAACAGTAACAAAGTTGTATTGTTAGAAAATAAAAATGTTCCTTCTCAAACTAGTTAATGAATAATTAGGACAAACGGATAGTCTAGCCAAAGTTCAGAAAACTTGATAATAAAAAAGTCATATCGACAACTTTACGTTAATTTTCTTTCGCAACTAATTAGCAACAAAATGAGGGCGAACTGTGAAATTATTAGTTTCACATATCTCACTAACTTGACAAGCATATCAGAATTTACTTTAAACAACAAGATCATTTTTGTCGCACAACCAAAACATGTATATATACCATTATACTGTAACGTAATTATTACAGATTGCTAATATGCAGATAAGTGATATCATCATGCTGGATAATTTTTTTTCAGAGATCACTGTTATCTTTACCATTTTGACGTTCGAAGTCATCAATACTGAGTTTTTTCCTAAGAAATTTTGTTGGATATATTCTGGAAAAGTTTTTCCGAAAGTTCGATTATTTCACATACAACATTTGTCTACATTGTTCTGATTTTATTAAAATAATGACCTTTGCCTTGTATTTTAAAATTATGAACTCTTGGAGAGTTGTGTAGAGTTCTAGTATGTTCTGAACAACATTGATGGAAGAATTTGAACTTCCACGGCCGGAGACAACTGTGTGAAAGCTATTTTCCGGTTTTTTAGGTCGTGGTCTGCAGGTTTTTATACTGCAGGTTTCGTCTACTACTTCGGTGGACATAATAATAATAATAGAAAAAAAAAATAACCTCTGAAAAATAATTGTTTCGGGTCAATATGGACGAAAAAACTTTCAAAATTTTACAGTTAGTTTTTATTTATTAAATATTCGAATTTCTACAACGGCTGACTTTAGTATAAAAAATATGTACAAGTCTTCAAGGTATAGAAACTGATAGAAATATCTCACAGCCAATCGTTTCGACTCGAATTTGTACACTACAAAACCTATAAATGCTCGATAAAGAAGGTTTCTTGGATTATTTTATACAGACGCACTATCAGATATTTCCACCAGTATATAATAACAATGCTTCGATAATTTACAGATGAAATTACACAAATTATGGCAAGAAAATTACAAACGCCTTGATACAAGGGCAGACATATAAAACAAATTGCATAAAAGAGTCTACTTTTCGTACCGCACTATACATACTCCTCAGACGGTTTCTGAGCGTTCGTAAGTCTTAATGACGCGGGCACTCGCCCATTCACAGAATCAGGCAGCTCCGCAATGTCTTTAAACACACCTGCCAGACTCTCGAAATTGGGCCCCCAATTCAGTAAATAGTCCCATCCCAGCGCATTCGTTGGTGGAGAACCGGTTCCAGGCCTATACATCGGTCCCCCCAACTCGTCATCGGACGCCACCAAAGTACTCATCGAACCACGATACGAAGAGTCGAACCCGTCGTACGATGGAGGTGGGATTTTCCCCTTGTTCCCGGAACTAGAGTCTGTCCTCCTCGGGTCCGACTCGCTAGGTTTATATTTGTCGCCCGTCAAACTGGTATTGTCGTACTCGATCTCCGAGCAGGTGAAGCTATCGTTACCGCTCTCGTCGGTCGTGGTGCTGCTGTGATGCGTCTCTGGCACGGGGGAGTGTCGCAAGTGGTTCAAGTGATTGCCCCCCCCACGCTGAGGAGCTTCACTGGAGCTCGACACGGCGTCGAGCGTTGATACTAAACTAGAATTTCGCGGGCGGGAATTCAGTCTTTCGATCTCCTCGGCGGTGAGCCCCATTCCTCCGGGAGATGCCGACGTCACCTGGGGCTGCGCGCTGAGCTGCGACATCGCCGGGCTATTCATGTTCATGCTACGCTCGCTGTTGTCTTTACCGACACCCCCCGAGCTGGAAGTCGTTGCCAAAAGTGCTGTCTGCAGCGGCTTGCCGCTGATGTCGTGCAGTGTAAGTATCCTCGGCTGCTGGGCACTCATCTCGCTGCTGGGGCTTAACCGGGCCAAGGGGGTGCTCTGGTGCGGCCGCGAGTTCTGACACGTTACAGGAGGAACCCGAGGAGGGTATCCAGTGGGCAGGTGTGGCGAGTGCCTGTGCTGCGCTTGACCCTGTGCCGCTGGGTGCTTGTGGTGGTAGCCTCCCACACCGGGGGGATTTGCTTTGTACTTCTTCAGGCCCCCGGTCTCGCGGTAGCCTTTGTAATGGTACACTATGTCTATGTCCGAAGGGGCTATGCTGCTGGCGTTCTCCAGGTCGTAGTGTTCGGGAATTTCCGAATTCAGGTCCGTCGGCACATGATCGTGGCTGTGATTGGAATTCGGGGGCATCGGAGGATGGTGCTCATCGCGCATTGGAGGGCCTTTCCCCATAATTTCACGCTCGATTATGTCCGGCCGCTGCGGCCTCGGCATGTCGCCTTGGATGATCTCCCGCTCCTTATACTTCTTCGAAAGCAGCTCCGGGCCCACCAGAGGTAGCCCTCCTATACCTCGGATGACATCCCCATCGGCATGGTAGGACATGGGGTTATCGTTTCCGTGCATTACCCTGCCTAAAACATTCTCGTTAGCTACTCCCATTCCGTTGCTTCCTATCATGGTACTGCTTCCGTTCTGCTTAGTGTGAATCCCTGTTGCATTATTCGAAACCCCGCCCTTTTCTTTGTATTGCTTCCTCAGTCTAAATGCTACGAAAGAAACTAGTATGGCAACGAGCAAAACCACGAAAAAGACGATGACTAGGGTGATTCCGATGCTGAGTGGATCTGGCGCGGTGGCCGTTCCGACCCCGATAGGTCCTTTACAGTCCCTGGTGATCCTTCCGTGGAAGTGCACCTCTTGGAAGATACTGCCGGAGCCGTTGAAGGGCTGTATTTCGTTATTGATAGTGAAGTTGCCGAAGCAGCCTTCGAAATGCTGGGGAGGAGCATTCTTGACATGATACATGTTATTAGAAACGCCGCCGATGCTGAGGTAGGTGAGGTAGGGGTCCAAGAAGTCATGCACCCCCGCTGAGTCGAGCTCGTCTCCAAACTTCTCACCGTTTAGGAGCAGTTTAATACCTCTTCCGCGTGAAACCAGGGTTAAATTGTGCCACAATCCGTCAGTCACCATTTTGTGAGAGTCGGTCATATTGACGACAGTGGAGAGCTTACTGATATAGAAAATCTGGCCATTGATCAATTCTATGGAGGTGTAGTACTTGTTACTTGTTGCGTAGAGAATGAGCCCATTCTGTTGGACGGTCCGGAACACTATGCTCATGCTCTTATCTGGTGAAATTGCTACAGGGGCTAGAATGTTGGACCTTGCCTTTCTCTGATGGCCCCACAGCGTGGATCCTTTGTAAATATTCTCCAGTAGCTGCATCCTTCTGTGCTTTTTGGAAATTTCGAATTCTACAAATCCTCCACCGCTGACGCTGATTGGCTGCAGGGAAGAATGGCAGTCAGGTGCTATCAGATTTCCTCCGCAGTTGCAGCTGATGGAGCTCCAACGATCCAAGCAGCTACCGAAGCCAAGGCAGGGTTCGTTTTGCGCTTTGGAACAGGATTCTCGGCGAATACATTTGTTTTCTATTCCTTCAGAGGCCAAGGGTTGACTGAGGTTGAGTTGACGGCCATTGACGGAAATACTATGGACGCAGCCTACCAAATCATCGGAATGGACTTGGCCAGGTCGTTCTAGAACAGGATCTGCGCTGATCAAACCTCCTATCAATAGTGGTTGATTGTTGAAGTTTAGTGTTCTGAAACAGGAAAAAATTGAATGTTAAATACCTCAATACTAGAATGGTAATGGATGGTATGGAAGTTACCATATCAATGGGTAATAAAGACGTATTATTTTTATTATTATTATCATTATTATAATCTATACTCTTTACATATTGTGATAGCAGCAACAGACTTGAAATGTAATTGAGCTACAAGAATTTATGTAAAATAGATATTTCGGTAAGCACATCGTGAAGGAAAGCACATCGAACATGGTCATAGACATCGAAGTAGACTGTCGACACTAACTCCATGATTTGCCACAAAATGTGGAATGTAGATTAATTTGTTTTCAAAAAACCAATCTGCAGTGTGATATTATGATGAAACCAAGAATGACATCGAGACTGGTCTGAGAACGCAGATATAGATCGAAGGAAGTGGCGAACAGGAATACATTGAGAATCCTATTGTTACAGTGCTTTTGTGTAATATGATTGTATTAAATATTAAATTAAATTATTAAAAATAAATTCTATACTTGTAATACATTGTTTGGAACCTTTGGTGTAAAAATGAATATCACTGAAGTTTTTCCCAACTTTTAACATCTCGACACCTGTTTCGATCACCAAGTGATCATCTTGAAGAGGAAGATTAAATTCAACTTAATCCTCCTCTTGAAGATAATCTCTTGATGATTGAAACACGTGTCAAGATGTTAAAAATAATGATTGATTCTGTATTGAGTGCCAGAAGACTCGGAAATCGCAGGTAACGAGAAAACTGATGTGTGTTCTAGACACGGATATGACACTTTATCTGTGTATAGGTATTCCTGCAGAACCACTTTGGAGGAAATGAGTCAATAAGATATATGATGGAATCGGCCGATACTTGATGAAAATCCATAACTAACGTATTCCAAAAACACTTTATTGTGAGATTTTCACTAAATTGTTTTACAAAAACGCAACACGTGTTTCGCCATACAATGGCTTCATCTGGCGTGTCTTTCAACTGAGTTGAAAGACACGCCAGATGAAGCCATTGTATGGCGAAACACGTGTTGCGTTTTTGTAAAACAATTTAGTGAAAATCTCACAATAAAGTGTTTTTGGAATACGTGAGTCAATAAGAAATATAATGAGTACTGGTAAGTTATACCTGATAACAAAGGGGAAAACTCTTCATAAAATGCCCCTCTGAGAAAAGGACTTAAGAACTGCTTCCACAGAACATGAAAATACAAAATAATTACAAGGCCCTTTTTGGGCATAGTTCATTCAAAAGACACCGGAACACAATATGATTATATTATGGATACCTTAGCAGCAGGCATTGTTACAAATGCATATAGACAGCTTGTTGAAGGATGCGATAAAATAAGAATATGACAAATATCCGAAGTCTTGAACAAACTAGTACAGGAAATTAGACTGTTGGAATAGGCGTCATAAAAAGATGGGAAGATAAAAGCAGTAAAGCCATTAGTCTTCGGTGTTTTCTGGAATCTTGAAAAAATGGACAAGTTGAACTGCTTCCTCGCAGACAAAATGTTTCATGGACTAATAAAACAGAATTTGAAGAAGTTAGGTTGGCAATACATGGAACCATTATACATGGATTCATTTGTATAAAAGTACAGTCGGATTTATTGGACGAAAATAAAGGAAAAACGTAAATACTTGTAGTTGATAAGACATGAAACAAATTTCTGACGTATGTATAACTGTATCTTCTGATTAACTGCCATATTATCTTTGTATACGAAGTTCTCCAAAATGTCTCAGAATATTATTCGAACTCACCCGCTAGGTCCAATTTCATCAGCGTAACATGTGCTATCTCCTGGTCGACATTCTTCGCATACATCTCCTTGTTCGGCGCAACTAGCAACGCTCAGTGAAACAACCCTACCATTTCTTGTTGCTGTTATCTTATACCAGTTCCCATCCGCCAGGTTGTTCTTCTTGCCACCAACACTAACGGAAGTTATTGCCGTTCTGGTCCCTCCAAAGGAAAACAACGCCCTACCTTGGACGAGCTCCACCGCAACAAAGTCGCTTCTGCCTCCTGTTTGTAGCCCATAGTTATATACGAGGAGAGCATCCGGTTTGGTGGTAGCGAATATAAAAGATATGTCGTTGGTAGCTGCGTCTAAGGATGGAAAACTCATGTAGGAAAGTTCTTGGAATCCGTAAGTAGACTTCTCACAGTGTCTGCCATACCGTCCATCGGTGCAGCTGCACTTGTAACCGGGCTTCAAGCTGACGCAGAGGCCTCCGTGAAGACAAGGGTTTGGTCTGCAAGAATCGGCCAGTACTTCACACTGGTTGCCCTTGTACCCCGACCTACACAAGCAGAAGAAGGAGGATCCATCAGGACTTTCGCGACAGGAGCCACCATTTTGACATGGGTTATCGGAGCAGACGTCATCCTTTTGGCTCTCGCAGTGTCTGCCGTCTTTTCCAGAGGGACAAATACAGTGGAAATTGAAACCTTGTCTCCTGCACTGTCCACCAGACTTGCAAGGGTTCGGGAGGCAGGGATCTTGCCTCTTACTGCAGGTAGATCCTGTAAAACCATCAGCGCACTGGCAAGTATATTCATGTAAAACTAAAGGAGATGTGAAGATTATGTTCTGACTGTCGGTTATTTCGGTCGTCTTCTTCACCGTCATCGTTTCGAAGCAGATGCCACCGTTCTCGCAGGTGTTGTCGTTGCAAGGAGTGTACCCGATTTCGATGTCGGGGATTTGAAAAAGGTTCACCAAAGCTTCGCGTTTTTTCAGTATCTTCTCAATCGTTAGGAACCTGCTTTTATATCCGCTGCCGCTTCTTATCGCCAGGTTGATTTCTAAGCTAGCTTCATTCTCGTGCAGGCTATACAGTAGAAGGCTTTCTTCACCTATCAATGCGCTCTTGATGATGTCCAAGAGGCCTCTGTAGTATTGCCAGAGAAAGTTCTCAGCGGTTAGATTCTCGATCCTAATCGTCACAGAGTTATCCACGGTTACATTGTTGAAAGAAACAAACTCGACAGTTACTGTTGACACGACGTCGGAGTGTCGTCCATCGTTCCCCGAAACAGACAGGGAGTATCCTAGTCCTGGCGTTATCCTTGAAGTATGAAGATTGCAACCAGCGGGGATGGACAATACACCGGAGATGCTAGGTTTCTGGAGAATCTTGCACCTGTAGTCTCCTATCAAATCTGGATCATTGGGGTGCACGTTGGCGATCTTCCCCAGCGGATAGGTGTCGTTGAAAGCGTATACTAGGACATGCACAGACCTAGAACTTGAGGGACTGTCATTTTCGTCCTGAATTTCTATCCTTATGTTGTGCTGGGACTTCATTTTCGGGAAACCGCTGTCCTCAACCTCTACGATGATATTGAGTTCGGGGGTGAGCTCCCTATCAATGACTTTGGTGGTCACTACGGCACCAGTGTGCTTGTCCACTCTGACATAGTCTTTGTGCTTACCACCGACGAGTTTGTAAGTGAATGGAGCTCCATTCGGAGGCAAGTCTGGATCCTTTGCGGACAGCACCATGACCTTTGTGTTTGGTGGCTTGTTTTCCATGACCTGTCCCACGACTTGGGGTGGATCAAATACAGGACCATTGTCATTGATGTCGTTTATTTGAATTTTTACCAGGGTTGTTCCAGTTTGAGGTGGGATTCCTGTATCTATGGCTCCGACGACTAGGGAGTACATTGGCGTTGTTTCTCTATCCAAATTTCTAGAAGTCTGGATTTCACCCGTCTGAGGATCTATCTTGAAAGCCTGCTCCACGTTGCCTCCAATTATTGAATAGCTAAATTGGTTGTTCTGCGATCGCACATCTTTGTCTACAGCTTTGACAGCCGCAATCTTAGACCCCACCACTGCACCTTCGGAAACTTCTGCTTCGTAAAGGCTCTGCAGGAACTCCGGTGGGTCGTTACCATCTTGAACTGTTATTATCACCTGGGCTTCATCTGTGTCGTTTCCTCGTATACCACCAGCATTTTTTGCCATCACAGTGAGTACTATACGGCTTTGCGTCTCTCTGTCCAAATTCCTGGACACACTAATAATTCCGGTCTCTGTATTAATGCTGAAACCTTTATCGTTGCTGGATCCCACGAAGAGATAATAAATTTTACCATCGTCTCCAGAGTCTTGATCTGTGGCCTGTATTGTACCGATTTTGGTCCCGACTTCCGTCGATTCTGATACGTCGAAGTGGAAAACGGACTGGATAAATCTGGGGTAGAACTCGTTGACACCAGTGATGTGAACGCGCACTATAGCAGAACCTGACATGGTGGAATCAGGATTAGCCGCAACTACTTTAAGCGTGTAAAGAACCTCTTCTTCATAGTCAAAGCTGATTTTGGAGGTTATCCTTCCTGATTTGGATCCAATCTTGAATACATCTTTGTCAGGCCCATCCGTTATCGAATACTCTATTATAGCGTTCTTGGGGGAATCTAAATCTGTAGCTGCCACTTGATAAACAAAACTATTCGGCGGAAGATTTTCCGATAAATAGGCGTCGTAAGCAGACTGATTGAAGATTGGCGAATTGTCGTTGATGTCTGTCACATTTATGGTGAGACTAGCAGTTGTACGTTTTGGCTTGAAGCCTAGATCTTCAGCTGTTATGTTCAGCCGGTACTCCTGGATTGTGTCGTAATCCAGCGGTTGGAGGATGATCACAGCGCCCGAAACTGGATCGAGTGAGAATTTCTGGCGTTCATTTCCAGCGGATATTTTATACCGAATCATTCCGTTGGGTCCTTGGTCGTTGTCAGACGCACTCACTGTCAAAATAGATGATCCTAACGGTTTATTCTCTGGAACGAAAGCTTGATAACTCAGAGCCGTGAACACGGGACTAAAGATATTTTCTCCTGTAACAATCAATGTAACGGCCGTTTCACTCTGCTGTGGAGGGATTCCCTTATCCGTAGCTTTAACTTGGAGATTATAGACCGTTCCCACGCCATGAACTTTCTCTTTGACGGTGATCCAGCCGCTGGTGTCGTCTACCAGGAAATTATTTGAGCCATTGCCACCAGTGATAGAGTACTCTATTTCAGCGTTCACCCCAACGTCCAGCTCATCTTTGGCCACGACTTTCAAGAGATGCTGTCCTTGCACCGCGTCTTCTGGTACTGGCGACAAGTACTCTTGCTGTTCAAATGTCGGGGCGTTATTGTTGGCGTCCACTACGTTAATGGTGACTAAGCATTCGGAAGACATCGGAGGTTTGCCGTTATCCGTTGCCAAGATGGTGAGAGAGTGGATGTTTTCAGGAGATGACTCCATCGGCGTGTACTTGTACCTGAGGCTGCGTTTGCTGAAGATTTCTCCTGAGGCAGGGTCAACGGTGAAAAGGTCTGATGGTTGCTGCAAGGAATAACTGATAACAGAGTTGGGACCCTGCTTGTCCCTGTCGGTTGCTGTGACTTGTCCAACAGACACGATGTCTCTCTGAAGTTCTGGAAAATTGAAGCTGTAGTAAGAGTGCTCGAACTCAGGAGCGTTGTCGTTCTGGTCTTGGATGGTGATGGTAAGGGGCGTTTCTGATCGCCAGGCGCCGTCGACTGCTGCTACTTTGAGGACGTACTCGTCTTGTTGTTCGCGGTCCAGATGGCCTGTTACGGTGACGTTACCGCTGATTGGATCAATTTTGAACTTATCGCCTGGGTTTTCCGTGAAGCTATAAGTGGCATTGGCATTCTCTCCAATGTCTTGGTCGGAGCTGGTGACTCTAATGACGAAGGAGCCGATCTCCGCGTTCTCGGTGACATTCACGCTGAATAAACGGGTGAACCTTGGAGGGTTATCGTTTTTATCGAGCACGGTAACGATCACAGTGGCGGTGCCTGTCAGAGGTGGTACTCCTCTGTCGCTTGCTTCAACCGTCAATTCGTAGCTAGCAACGTCTTCTCGATCCAAGCGGCCGTTGGTGTAAATCTCCCCACTGTCCTGATCAATTTCGAAAGTGGATTCAAAGTCATCAAGCAGCTTATAAGTGATTTGTCCGAATTCTCCTGAGTCTGCATCTGTGGCGGATACTTTTACCACCAGCAAAGGCGGGGCTTCTTCTTCCATAACCGAAGCGTTGTAAAGGAGGCTGTTCATCACCGGTGCATTGTCGTTGGAATCTGTGACATCAATAGTCAGCTGAAGGACGCTTCGAAGAGATGGTTCGTCAGAGTCTTGGGCTTCTATCCATACTTCATACTGCGGAGAGACTTCGTAGTCCAGGCCTTCTCCTGCGACTTGAAGTTCACCTGTGTTTCTGTCGATTTCTAAGGCTCCGCCAATGTTGCCACCCGCAATGGCGTATCGCACCTCTCCCGCAGGACCTTTCTTTGGAGACGTGGCACGGAATCTAGCGATCATCATTTTCGGCGTGCTTTCGGGAACGACAAATCTGGTCTTCATGGGAGTTGCGAGACGAGGAAAGAGATGATCGGGTTTCAGGAACACTTTTAGCTCCATGCTAGCTTTTCTCGGTGTCTTTCCACCATCCACTGCTTCTATTTCCAGATTGAAGACGCTACGAGATGATCTCTGCAAGTCGTACACGGCTTTAATGACACCAGTCTTCCCGTTGATGGTGAAGTTTCTAGCGTGTTCCCCGGCGAGCTGGTAGGCAATTTTGGAGTTGGCACCGACATCTTCGTCGGTGGCTCTAGCTCCGAAAACGAATTGATTAGCTTTAGTGTGGTCGGAGATGTACACTTCGTTCTTGCTGGACTCGAACATTGGCGAGTTGTCATTCTCGTCTGCCACGTTGATCGTAAGATTCACAGCAGCGGCTCTGGGTTCGGTGGTTGAACAGTCCTGCGCCATAAGCGTGAGTGAGTACGAGCTGAGCTCTTCTCTGTCGAGGGATATTGTTGTGGTTATCACTCCGGTGTTCTGGTCCACCTTGAATCGCTCGACCTTGTCGCCAAGGAGGCTGTATCTGATTTTTCCGTTAAGTCCGATGTCTTTGTCGGTGGCTATCGGAGTTATGACCCATGTTCCGGCGGGGAGGTTTTCTTTGATGGTGGCGATATAGGCTTGTCGCTTGAATTCCGGACTATGATCGTTCACGTCTTGGACCACGATTCGTACTGTTCCGGTGCCTGTTAGAGGGGGTGAGCCTGCAAAAAGAAAAATACGTTTTCATAAAGACTGAAATAGGAAGAAAAATAATTTTTGTCAATTGAAGTGGACTACATTGCTAATGGCTACTCGCAATAGTATTAGGCTTTAATTATTTTGAGGAATTGTGAAAAATGTATGCCAATTGTATTTCGAATCTTGGAACATTTCAGTGTTTCCATAATGCGATTAGTATCTCTTTATGAGTTGAAAATTTAAAGGTGATATTCTGGACAATACAAAATGTAAGTTCGTGTAAGACGCCACTGGCATGAACTTTATAGAAGTGTACGCTTGTAGGACATATCACGATTCACAAACATTCCAATTTGTCACAATTACACGCAGTAGGGGGTGAGTAAATATTACCAGGAAGCACATCTTGAGACAGTAGCGCACGTAGTAGCTAGAAGTTGAAAGTTTTAATGAAACTTTTGAAAAGATATACGGCACTTTTTGTTGAAGAAAAATAAAATCATATTGTTAATAGTTTGGGATAAGGTTTATGAGGATCAATTATAAACATAAACGAACTAACAATATTTCATATCTCATGTGAATACGTTTATCCATAAAGTTGTCTCAATTATATTTACACGCCATGTTTCGAATGTTTAACAAATCAGTATTTCATTTGTTCAACAATAAACAGAAGATTCGGATGAATTCGTTTTGTGGATGAAATGTAAATAGTTATAGAAAATATTGTACATACGATCATTCGGAAAATAATAATAGATTACTATCCAGATTGATATTTCTAAATTCATTTTATTTATACATGTATACTGTTTTTTAGTAATTTTATATCACATATGATTTTGATCAATTCCTAATTTTAAAAATTAGGAACTACTTTTTGGTTATTACATAATTTATTCCATGAGCAGCTTATATTCCGCAAAATAATCCTAGTGAGTACGAGTTATACGCAAATTTTGAAATTATAGTAGGCGGCGGCAAATACCAACTGCTTTTTCTGAAATGTCACTAGTAGTACTAGTAGTACCTAGAAAAAGTAGAATGTCAACAGAAGAAGCATTCGATTTCAAATTAAGTTTTTAATAAGAAAAATGTTGATTGATGAATTGAAAAGTGTCAATTAAGGAGGAATAGGGTATGAAGGTGACCTAGTGCATAAATGCTTGTGTTTTAAAATAGTTTATCTTGTGAAAAAAAAGTCTGAAAAGTAGCCCTTTTCTGAACTTTGAAGGGCCGTAACTTTGTAAATAAGGGAGAGCGTCGTTTTTTTCTTTCGTATTCGTAATCTACGCATCAAAATACGTAAGTACACTCAAACATTTTTTTAAAATCGCCGGGTGCCCTCAAACCGAATATTTACTGAAAAAAATTGCTTGAAAACATCAGTAGCGAAACTTGGACATGAAAATTCATTGACGATAAACAGTTGGGAGTAACAATAAGGAGTTCCCTAAAAACCCGCCGCTGATAGGAGTCGACTCGGATATCTGGTCCCGAATCGAAAACCTCAATCAGCCATATCTACCTAGAACAACAGTCTGTTCAACAGAGACAAGACAGATCGTGCTCTTTTGGTATTGTTGTAGTTACCTCGAGTTATTATAGATTTGACCCCGTCGCCAGCCGGTTCAAATGCCTCTTTCGATTTTTTCGATCCCGCCAGCTGATTGCTATCTGACTTATTTATCGTTCGACTACGATGTTTTATTGTTCCATATTACACGACGTTTATTGTCGAGCAATTCGATTTGTTCGGGAGTTGGTGAACCATTTCGTCAGCAGAGGGCGGTAAGAGATGACTTTTTCAGGTTATAGGTGTTCGGTTACTCCGCCACTTTTTTAATTCTAATTACATTGGAACGTATGTTGGTATATTGAAAATACTTTTGTATCTGTTGATCGAGGACCGTTCAAGATAATTCTGATTTGTATTGAATTTTCAGAGTTTGAAAGTTAGAGCTTAATTCATACAGTCCTATGCACACGATGGACCCGGGAACGGTTTTCTGCAGTACTTTGAATGATGAAACTAGCAACAGTTTGTAACTAGCAACAAAGCAACAGAAACAGTTAATTTTTATCATGCATCAGAAAACGAATCAAGTCATATCAAATACTTTTCATTGGACATAATCTATTTTTTCAATTTCTTCCAACGTGTTAGAAAACACTGCAGCTTCATAGGCTGATTGTTTTTTCTCTCAGGTTTCCATAAAACCCACCCTAAAAATCTTCTTTCCTGTACTAGTTTTAACAGATCTTTGTTGGATCTTTATCTTATTCTTTTGGACATAATTTGGCTTGCTTGCTTGCTGTGTTATCTGATATATAAAGGTAGGTTTGTCCGTGTATGTTCCCAGCAAACAAACAAAAGTGCTTCTGGATATAATAACATTTCTGCAAACATAATCGCAACTTTACCTGTTGAAACTCTAGAAACATTAGTAGCTAGCCCATATTCATTTGTAATATTTAATTTTTCCACTTTTCATTTTGATTATTTTCATTCCTGTTAGGTATACAAATGGACGTCAACTAGTACTCTTCTTCTTTTGTTCAGTCATAGAGTTTATTTTCATAGTGTAGTATGAAGTAGAGTGATAAGCGAGAGAGAGATATCCACTGTTAGTGATGTCATTCTTAGAAACGGTGGGCTCTGGGTATAGTTCTGAAGGGAATGATGTAACAGGTGGCAGAATTGCCTGAACTTTGAACCGATAACGATTCTATGTGTGAAGGATGACATTTTGAAAGGATATTTTTTGTGCTTGATTTCGTATAGAGAACACATGTGGTGTTTCAAGATTTAAGTGCTGCCAGGCAAGATACTAGGATCGTAGAATGGCAAAATCATAGAAATCATACAACCCTTAAAAGCATAAGAACAAATGAAAGTATAAGAACTACTAATAGCATGAAAACAGGAATAAATTAAATACATTGGACGCAAGGGAGAGATCGTCTTGGACGTGTCTGGCTGCACTGTAAAATATAGGTCTGAGGTGGCTACTGCCGGAGTCATGGGTCTCAAGAATCAGAGGAGTCTATTGGGAGAAGTGTGAAACAAAAGCATTGAGTTTCCTTGATAGTTTCTGGAAATAGGATTTCAAAAGTTCTAAGGTTTAGTGCATTAAACCCTAGGGTACGTAGTTATATTTCCTATTAAGGCCATCATTGGAAAGAGTAGAACATTTCAGAACATTGACACTCTGATTTTTTTACACAGTGACCATTTATTTTCAATAAGGACTTACTATTTTTGTTTACTGATTCATTTCAAGGTTGGGATTGCAAAACCCTATTAAAACACATGAGTAAACAGTATTCTTTGTTTTATCTCGTATCCCAGTGTAAATAAGTTGGTCTATAGTGACAGGTGTTGAAAAGGGGTACAGGTACCTACAGTATTTCTAGAAACTTCTGTAGATGGCGTCCAATTAAGAGCTCTCAATGTACCGCTTTCTTGTTCTAGATCAAGAAACGAGTAAGGTAACGTTACACTTCCCTAAAAACTTCCAAAGTCATCCCTCTACATAAGCAGGGGTGATTTGGTAACCCCTCCCATCTTCGCCCCATTTCTCTAATTTCAGCCATTGCCAAAATCATTGACAAATTGGTACAGATTAAATTCTTGAATTTGAACTTCATTCAGAAATAAATGCAATAACTTTCTCGGATCTACCTTAGACTTTTGATTGCGTTAATCATGGTATAGTGCTTAGAACACTCTACCGGTATGGGTGCAGAAAAACAACTATCAAAACAACGAAAATCTCGGAGAGGGAAACTGAAGCTGGTGTGCCACAGGGTTCCGTATATATCTGGTAGTTTCACGCTCTTCTCAAAAAATACCAGTGTTTTATAGAAAAATCAAAACTTAATTGAAGTGCAAAGAATATCCTTCTTGGAAAAACTTGGAAAAAATAAAATAGCGAAGTGATGCTAATTTGCTATCTATTAGTATCACAAAATCTTGCAAAATAAATTGTAGTACATATAATATGATCACAAATATATACACATAGTTTATCAGTATAAGCTCAGTGTGGTTAAAGTACATGAGTTTATAAAAGCTCAAGTACATTAAAGTGAGGAAACAAGATAAAATTTCAACTTGCCAACTATATAATGGAGTTTATTTTCTCAGAGCATAATTCCACCCATTCACTTGCTGAGGATAAGCAAGAATGTCGTATCCTGTAAACTTTTCACTGTTCCTCTTATCAGCGTAGTAAATGAAGTCGAGATTGCACGCATAATATCAATAAACAACCCATCACATTTTTCTCTACGAGCTTGTTTTTAAAGCGCAACCTAATCGGAAGACGGGCCATTTACATCGTTAACGTTCTTTGAGGTATACTCAGTCTCACAGTATCAGTGCTTTGAAAAAAGAAGAAGAATGCTCACAGCATCCTAGATTCCAATATTCGAAGTTGCAGTGAGTGATATCTTTCGTAAATTTCTTGCACATGAATGTACTTGACAGCGAAGGGATTTTTCTAGAGGCGTTTTCTGGCGCTCATGTATTAAAAACGTATTCGTCTGTGATTCAAATACATTCATTCTGGCGTTGAAACGATGACGTCACATCAACTATGATTTGAAACGTATTCATGATGATTCAAAACTAGCATGCGGTTGATTTTGAAACGGAATTTGACGTAACGTTACGTCAGTTGTCAGTTTCTGCGTTACTTTGATCGTTATAGTTTATTAAGTGCTAAAAACTTTTTATCAAATATGTTGTAAGGATGTACAAAATGAAGCTGGGAAATTATTGTATGCACAAATCCGATTCTAATTGAGGTTAGATAAAATTGCAAAATTTGTTTTTATTACTGAATTTGACATTTGACACAAATTGAATAATTTCATTCTGGCGAATTTGAATTGAAGACATTCACATTATTTTTATTATTATTGGTTTCTTCCTCAAAGGTATGAAGTAGAAATCATTTAGATTTTTGCTTGAATAGCCATGTTGTGGACATCGGCTACATTTTTATTGTAATGGAAAAATGTAACATGAATAGCAATTTGGAATACTTTCTGTTCAAAAGACCAATGTAACCTCAAATATTTGAAAAACTTCAGAACTTTTCAGTACGACTAAAAATAATTTTTCGCATGACTACGAAAGGGAATGAAAAGTAAAAGTTAACCTCATTGTTGATGTTGATGATCCAAAATGGTTACTGACATTAAGAAAAGAAGTGACTGGAAAAATTCTAGTTTCTGCTCGGAATTGATTACCAACTTTTCTTCAAGTGCCTTCTGATATAATTGTTTTCAGGGGCATAAGAAAATGCGTTCTCAGCTTGAAACTTTATTTGAAACTTTCAAACCTTCCAGTGAAAAACATACAGGAAGTTAACGATCCATGCCAGACTAGTAGGTGGACGTCATCTGCACTTATATCTTGATGGTCTCAAGAGGTCGTCACAGATGCGAAGTGTCACGATACGCGGTTTTTAGTTCTCACGAACGAATCTGCGATTAGCATCTTTACATTAGCGATTGTAACGGGTGCCGCAGACAAAGCGTTCTCTACTCGTCGTCTTCTTCTTTTTTTACAGTTAACTATTTCTGGCCAGTGGGCAGTTACAGAGGGTGTTATGATGAATTTTGTTGAAAATTTGGTTGCAAAAGTTGAGTTGTTACTGGCGATACGCTAGTTGTCAGAACTTGTGAAGAAAACATGATGTACAAAAAAATAGTATAAACTATTGCTTCAGAAAAACATTATGCACCATTTTCATCACATGAATGGTGTTTTATTGAATGACAGTTCAAGGTCAATTTGGTGTTTCAAAGTATCTTGAACAACACAGAGATCTTCTCTGGACCCTTTGTAACTTTCACGGCCATTCATCATCAATAAGAATCTCATAATACATGTTCAGGGTCAGAAATATTCAGCCAGGCAAATTCAATGTCAAAACTAAAAACAAATTATTTGCGACCACCAGCGCAGCGTCCAGCGGTTAAAGTTACTGTCAACTACTAAATGTAGTTGACAGTAATTTCTGATTTTAGGATGAAGGACGTTTACAATGAAGGTTTAAATAATGATATTAGGAAATTGTCTTCAGACTATATTTAAAAGAATGTTTTTGATCAGGTGAAAAATTGTTTTCTTGACCTTTTGCATCTAATACATCCTTCAGTAACACATATTGAGGCAATGCTTTTTATATCCGATTACACTATCGAAAAATAAATCGTATAACTTACCAGTGTCCATTGCAACTAGGCTCAGAATATATTCGTCTTGGATTTCTCTGTCCAAGGCTCTCAACAACGAAATAGCACCCGTGGAAGCGTTTATTCTGAAAATATCTGTATCCCCTTCCTTAATGAAGTACCTGACCAGGTTATTGAAAGGCGCAGTATCGGCATCATACGCTTGTACAGTGATGACATAACCTGAAAATATGCAATTTTCATTAAAACTTTGTTTATTATCGACAAGTCACAGGGATCAGTTTTGAGACTTAGGGCCATCATCAAGCTTGTTTTTATCTTTCAGAAAATTTCTCTTACCTCCGTTGGGCGGAACGATATTCTCCATGACGTAAGCCAAATAAGGCGAATCCAAGAACGTTGGGGGATTGTCGTTGATGTCCGAAACGGCTATGGAGATTTTGGCAGTATCGGCTCTCACGGCAGCTCCGCTGATATCACCGGCGCAGTCCTCAGCTCTGACGATGAGCTCGTAGCGAGATTTCCTCTCGTAGTTGAGATTTTTAGCCACGCGAACTACGCCGGTATCTTCCGCGATGCTAAAGTCTCTGTTGGTGTCTCCGGAGCTGATCGAATAGCGCACACGTCCGTTGAGGCCATCATCAATGTCTGTGGCCGAAACCTGAAACAGGAAATTATTTCATGAACTCTTTATTTTCGAAAAATGTTCATTTCGTGAATGTATCTCGGAAGAACGAAATTTGGTCTTTCGAGCCGGATAAATGCTATTGCTTTACCTGCAAGACGCTGGCGCCAATAGAGGCGTTTTCCGAAACAGAAGCGCTGTACTGCTTTGGATCGAATACCGGACTGTTGTCATTCTCGTCTAGGACTCGCACAAAAATTTTTGTATTCGTCAATCTGGGTGGATCGCCTCTGTCCCTTCCGGTTACCAGCAAAGTGTAGTTGCTCGTCGTCTCTCTGTCTATCTTTCCGGAAACTCGGAGCAGTCCATCTACCGGTCCCAAAGAAAATACTCCGTTGGTTACAGGGTCGTTGGAGAGGGAGTATTCGATGTATCCGTTTCTCCCTTCGTCCTTGTCGATGGCTTTGATAGCCATGACGACGGTGTTGACAGGGATATTTTCTGCTACGGTGGTATCGTTGGGAGTGATAAACTCGGGAGACATGTCGTTGACGTCTTTGAGGATGATTGTAACCTGAAAGGGACAAAATTAGGCAATGTACTTGTGTTGCAAAAGAACAGTATCCATTCCTTACTGATGACTGAGAAACAAAGATCTACCTGGAAGAGAATGTATACATGATTTCATTTTTTAAAATCTTGATTATCTTCAACAGTCGTTTTATTCTTCATTTTTAAGGATGACAGATAACAACTGATAATACACTCAATGTTTGTAACGAATATTGAAGAATAAATTTTAAATCTCTTAGAAAACAACAATACCAAACCTATAAATCTCTCTGTTTTGAGAGATAATATTATCACAGTTGTGGCGAAACATTTTCACAGGCGTTAGGACGTGAATATAAAAATTAATTTCTTGAAATCACAACTAATGTATGAGGACAACGCCTCGACTTTATGTATGAAATATCTTCCACAAAGAATACTGCATTAGTCTAGAAGCCAGATTACATTTAATGTGACACATTATACATTTTTTTTTGTTGAATGATATCTGTAAACAGAATACAGAAATGTTAAGTTAGTAAAACAGAGATAAGGATAAACAATTGTATACGTATAAAAATAAAAAAAAATGAAAATATCTGATTAGCCTGCACAGTCAGAAAGAACATTTTCATCCAACGAATTCGTTTTAAAGCGCGTCTTGCGTTCTTAGGCCGAAAATTTCAGATGCTCCAACAAAAATATCCAGTGAATTTAGACCTTGTTATTTTGCAGGCCAATGGTGGCAGTTCAAACACATTGGGCATTCCACCCAGTAGTGTTTCACAAGTGTTTCGCGAAGAATTGTTTTTTCGAGTTGGATACTTCATCTTCATACTAACAATTTGTACTACAGAAAGGAATACCTTGTACCATAATATGCTGTCGAGAGCATAAACGTTCAGATGATTTTTTGAAACTGTGGTAGCTTAACATGCCAGCCTCTAAGCTAAACGATCTATGGATAATCGATAGTTCAATTTGTCACCTAAATTATTCCTAATTATTATTTTTGAAGTTATAGCGGTAACGATTGGTTCGATGAGGTTGCAAATTATCAATTCCCTTGTGAAAAGAATACCTTCTCAGATTCAAATTCAAAAAGTACTTGACATTATATTGTTTGATACAGACTTTTTGCTTCATGTTATATAACAAAGATTTGAAGCAATTTCTCTTGTTCCGTGAAGCTTTTGTAATAGAATGGAGAGAATCTGTTTCTCGGTATTCCTCCGAATGAAACGATTTCTCTTGTAGAGAGTCTATTGGACGAAAGGTCTGTCAACCCTGTAGTGAAACAGGAAATATTAGACTTGCTGACGGTTTGTTCATCACAGCATTACTTCTAATTCAATGAAAATTTTTTATTTATCCTGTAAGTGTCTCATAATGGGAAACCAACTTAGTCCCATTCTGGCAGAAATTTTTATAGACGATTTGGAGAGAAAAATACACAGTAACCCACTGGTAAGAAGTTTCACGTATTAGTATAGATAGGTAGATGATATCCTGATATGATTCAAAGGAACGAACAGATAATTGATTAAGTTCTTGGATTTCATCAATTCTCCTCACCCTTCACATTCACCATGGGGATAGAAAACGAAGGCTCTACTTTTCTTGGACTTGACAATAATGAAAGTCGACAATAAATATGATTTTTCAATTTATCGTAAACCAGCATATACAGATATATCATTCATAATTCGTCCACCCACCCGTACCAGCACAAAGTAATATTATTCAACAGTATGATCCATAGACTGATGAATGTTCCTTTGTCAGACGCAAATTTCAATAAAGAACTAAACATAATAAAACAAATAGCTGTCAACAATAACTACGATAGCAGTTTAATACATTCGTTATTATCAAAAAAGTTATACAGCCAAGCTTTGAAGGAAGTTTACCCATTTCGAAGAGATGAGGATAAAAGTTATAGAACTGTAACCTACTTATGGCACGCCACTACGAAAATTTCAAATTTTCTGCATAACAAAGGTGCAAATATTGCTTTCAAAATCAGCAACAACTTAGTGTATAAATTATCATGTGGTCCGATGTGTGTCCGATATTTTATATGGGTCAAACTGGAAAAACGATTAAAGCCTGTATAAAGGAACACAGAAATAATTTACAGAATAGAACCATGAATTCAAGCTCCTCCATTTCCAGAAGAAAGGTTTAAAACTTAGCCTGTCGGAGAGTATGGAAATAAATAAATTTAAAAACTGTTAATATCTTATGAATAATCGAACGGAACTGAATAATTCGCTATTATTGAATCTGTTTATTTCCAGGTAAGAACTGTCAAGTATAATTACCGTACTTTCGGAAATTTAATTTATTCATATAGTTAATGAATTTATACCCGACCTTTTCAGGTAGACTCATTCGTTAGAAAGTAGGCATACAAGTAGGTAATATGTTCGAGTATAAAAAAGTTGTAATTTAGAAGTAACTTACCATTTTACGCTTGAGAAAGCTATTGTATAGCAAAACACGTGTCGCGGTTTTTGTAAAACCTTTTATAGTGAAAATCATACAATAAACTATATTATTGAGCTTCTTCAGAGATTTGTACATCTTTAGTTTATCTTTGATAACTGGGTATTACAACTTCTTGAAGACTTCTTAGAGCTTCTAAGAAGTTCAAGCATAGCAAACATCATGACGGCAGGTAGAAAAGGGCCAACGAATGTTATTGACAATTTACTCTATCCAGGTAGACCAAACTTCCTGAGGAGTCAACATAAATACACTTTACGCAGCCGTAATATCGAGTCATCGGAGAAAACTCAGGATGTGAAGAAGCAAGCCACTAGCGCCGGCGAAACGTCAGGAAGGAATTTCAAAAATCGGCGGATTTCAAACCAAAAAAATAGTGACACTGTTATATCGTTTTGTTTGGCATTTGTAACAGATGACGGCGTTATGAAACATAACATTCCGCTGTTTTTGAAAATAGATTATAGAAAAAAAGCAAGATTTCCAACTCTCCTTCAATGTTGTATTCCTGAATATGTTGTCTCTTTGGAAAACACCTGATGTTATAGTTCATTAACGATTGATGATTTACATTATGATACTATTCATCTACACTTTATTTTCGATAATATATTTTAGTATGGCGTATCATTTGATTGAGAACTTTTGACAATCACTCATTTTTACCACAAATAAGATTATTGATAGAATATATAGAAGTCTGAACGTGAAAACTATTAAAACATCGTTTTCTAAACTGCAAACTATTCAAATTGTTCGTCAGTACAAAATCAGTACTAAATCTAATGTGAAACTGAGTTGATATGTGTAAGATTACACAGGTGGTAACCCAATACTCATATATCCGTTACAAAAATTCCCTTTTGAAGCCAGATTCGAAAATATACTCTGGCTCACCGACTATCAACGCATTGTGGGTACTGCCCCGACAAAACCACTTCTTAAAATTCTTATAATCACTACCTACCATCTATGTAAATACAGAACGAGGTGCCATCATCATCCTCATCAGTTCTTCAAGACGTTTACACACTTGTCAAAGCTTGTTAACAAGAGTTAGTAAAACAAATAATCGACACATTTGACGTATGTTTAGTGGAATTGTTGAAACATGGGTGCGCGGAGTGGACCTCAGGGGCTGAATGCGCTCAAGAGACAGGAACCTACGAGAGGGTTCGACGATGAGTATATTATGTAGGATTTATGTAACAAGTTTTGCAACTCACGAGTGCTGTAAATGGGAGCTGACGAACATACAGCGTGACCACATTTTATTTGAGAAATCTACCTACAGTGTCATTGAAAATTTGAAGAGCACCAACATAGTGTAAATTTGAGTTTTCGACCACTAGGTGGCGCTTGTAAAGACATTTGAAAAGCGTGACTTACGGGTACGGCCAATGGGCATGGTCTCATACTTGAAATAGCAAGTTGCTTTCTAGTTGGTTCTTTGTTGTTGGTTGTTTTGAACACTTGAACTATTTCAAGTATTGAATTTGAAGATTCAAAAACAGAAATGTTTCCGGCTGAAATGAAACTTTGAATGTTTGAAAACGAAAAGTGAAATGAGGTTATGAATTATTATCTTCTTCTTCTTCCTTTATTCGGAGGTCGGAGATATTCAGAAAAAAAGTAACAAACAATCCTGAAATGGATGTTTTCTCAGAGTAATTTTTGTTACTCTGAGGATGTTTCATGATCTGTATCCATTTTGTGTTCTGTGTATCGAAGCGGGCAGAATCTACAAACAATGAATTCATGTCAATTGCTGTAGATGTCGCCACTCACATTGGAATTGAAAATTCATCTTCTGCAATTTTTCAATTTGTGTTGAGAATCTACGGAAAAAGTAGAAATCTACCGCATGTGGTTACCCTGCGAACATAAACCTATTGCATACCAATTTTCTCTTACAATATATACAGGGCGTTCCAACGAAAACTTGACCTCCCTGTAAGTCAGAAACGGACGTGTAATCAAAAATTTCACAGAACATGTCAATTTTTATTTCTAGGGGGGACTATTCAAATATGGAAATCATACCTGAAAGTTCACCCCCCCTGTGGTCAGTAACTACCCCCCTATTTTTTTCAATGGCATGGGGGGTCGAGTGATACATCATTTGAAATGTCTTCTGTCCCTCTATTACCTGTGTAATTTTTATTCAAAATTGGTTCATTTGCTATTGAGAAATTGAACATTGAACGTTTTATTTAAGAGAAAACAGAAAATTCGCTGCCGTTCATTTTGATGAGAAAATCAACAACAAATATGGTCAGTGGAAACAAAATCAACGGATAAATTGTTTAAAATGACCTCCACCTAGTTCCATACAATAATACATTCTTCTCTCGAAAGCGTTCCGTACATTATTCAAGATGTCCGGAGTCAACAATCGACATTCCCGAACAAATCTCTGTCGCAGGTCTTCCAGATTTGTAGGCTTGGTGGAGTACACGTTCGACTTCAGGTGTCCCCACAGAAAGAAGTCTATCGGTGTGAGATCAGGCGATC